TCTGACAATACAAATAAATACAACCACCAACGAAGCTGTTATCGAATAACTAATCAGTTTGCCTGACTAGACTCTGAGTCAAATTCACTGTGAACAGCTTAAACGAAACTTATCGGAACTTGGTGTTTAAAGCTGGGAGCGATTGTAGACCCCCCAATAATGTGCTCATCTTGCAAGGGACCCGTAAACATAACTAACTCTCTTCAGATAAACTTCATGTGTTCGACATCACATAAACTGGTTTGTTTTGGAAAGAATAGTTGTGATATATACACAAAGATATATTCAAATAATCTAGACATGATTTACAGATAAAAAACACAATCTACATATAAAAATGATTATGAATATCCCAATGATATGAAAAAATAAGTTATGTTTAATCTATAAACAACTAAGCTGACGGAAAATAGATGTCATCTTATTTCAAACTTAGATTCCGGTAAACAGGTTTGCTTTTTTATGCTTTGCCAAATCCAAGATGCAGATAACTGGAAACAATTCTAAAAGTAGGATACAACAAGACAGTAAACCAGTTGTATTAATAGTATAGAAACTAGTTTACACTGCAGTTATCAAATTTCAGCAATGATTCTTGTTTTCTCTGCAACCAAGGTCACAATATCCTAGTCTAAAAGATTCAAAGAAGCTGAATTTATTTGTAGACACAACCTTATTATTCGCGAACACAACAAAAGGGAGGGAATTTTTTAAAAAAAACGAAAACATCAAACAGTAACTTCCATCAATGTACGGTTCTTCAACAATCTCAGGAGAGACACAATTAATGTAGAACGTTGCACACAGGTGAATCGGCTCAAGTTGCCACACTTCGCAGTAGTACAAAAAGAAGAGGTAGATAAAAAAATGATATCGAAGTAAACAAAGTAGTGTGAGAATTTTAAAAAAATCAGAGGATAAAGGTTAGTGTGAATATTCAAGCTTTAGAAGACGTCAAAGACTGAACACATCTGCGCCATTGTGACCGATTTTCACCTGTCACTAGGAGTCCTCAACCAATGGTTCCTTACGTCTCGGAGACCCCAACCACGTAGTGTACCTCAACCCACACGGCTCAGACCAAGACTCAGAGACTTCATCGACTAGTGGCAGGTCTTGCACTGACCACCCTTAACCCTTTTCTAACCTAATCTAACTTTCCTTAGCATGGTAAGTCGTGATAGGTGGTGGCTCGGCATGCGCACTACATGCCTTGTCTTTCTTACTTAGTACCTTTCGCTTGACCTCAACACTGCTCACGCGGTGATTCCACTAAACATGAGGAATCCTAAGGAAGACATCTCTGATAAAAAACCGTGTAGTCGCCCCATATCTTCTAATTCTAATGGTCACGTTTCACAGCCGTATTACAGTCTCAAGAACTTTGCATAACCAGATTCCTTACAAGTGTCTTTTACTAGCTACAGGAATACGAAGAGACACTAGGAAATGCAAATCTGAAAAAGTTCAAGTGAATAATTATTGCGCAGAAGCGGAATGTAAGGCTCTAAGTAGACCAGGTAAACCAGTTAATATGGTACCGAATTTTGATCGATTTAGGTGGTTGAAACAAACTTAACACATGATAAGCCACCATTTTATATGCTCTATTGTCAGGTGTAGTATAATTAGGTTAGTAGGAAGTTAACAACGACAAAACCAAGACATGATAGAAATCGACGGAGTTTCTAGGTATCGTATCTAAGCTGGTGACTGCAAGACATAATATCGATTGCAGTAGCACAGATGCATTCATATGTTGTATTCATGTAGGTTAGGAAAAACCTACAATCACATTTCTCTACTCTTTTCATTGCCTTGTATTTAACCACAACTAGTGAGGAACAGAGTAACTCGAACAAATATAGTTACGCTATATTTTTATGTTGTTTTCCTGCTCGTTTTCGGATAAATAAAGATATCTAACTGAGCAGTTGCAAACGGTACATCTCTGAGCTCATAATCTGAAGGTGGTCGGTCACTTCAATATCCAACCAAGATTTAGATTACTTTCTATTTCAAGTGACATTATATCACCCATTATTTTGCCCATGGTTATATCTGAGGATAATAAACTTAAGTAGTTAATCACTGATCTAAGAACGGAGTATTACCAGCGTTATAAAATAAAGCTGCGAACAAGCTGTCTTGTATTAAGTTTCCCAAATGTCCATCGGTTGTTTTGATATGTTCATTCAAGGAACTTTGTAACTACTAGTACAGTAAGGTTGAAACACTAATATTTGATTATTTTTATAAGAAACCTTTGCAGCTAGTAAATACTAACATGGAACCTCGTATTGTCACGTAATGATCCAAATTGCCAAAAACATATCATCGTCATATCAGGCAGGAATGCAACAAGATCAGAAATAGAATAAGTGTGATCAAACGTCGTAGAAATCAGGAATTTCGGAGAGAGGGTAAAAAGGTGACGAGGTGTGATATATCAATTAAGATGAAGATATGGTGTCAAAGCATTTCTTTCACTTATACCGATTCTGAGTCACACCATCTACAGACTTCAACCACAGGTTTTGGTTACCACACCGACTCTCCCACACACCTCAAACCACCAATGAGATGCTTCAACTCCAACCAATATTGCATATAGGGTAGATAGTAACAGATATCCCAGCCATCTGGGCCAATAAAACCTTATAACCTCATCAACTGACTTACTTCTCACACCTGAAACTCTACTGTTAACTTCTACGTTTCTAGTGTGGTGGTTTCATGATAAACGAAAGTAATGTCAGCTGAAAACCTAAGGTCTTCTCATTGATGGTCTTTATCTTTATTAGCCATGTTTCCCAACCTCATAACAGAACAGACGGAACTGTTGAGCAGTAAACCAGTGCACAGATGTGTTAGTTGATTGGAAACAATCGACAGGAAGCCGTAGACCTAAGTTTCGTGCTTGTCGGGGATTGTCTGCAACCTCAACGGAACTTATGTATCGCCTGAGATTCGAACCCACGTCAGTTAGCGACTTCACCACTGGGCTATTCGGGTCACAACTGACCCGGTTGGTCACGGGAGAGCAACCAATTTCATGTTGTCTAGTCCTGAGTACAAACCGAATCCCATCGATCATATTTGCAATGTGGTCACCAAGCTAAGAGGCTCGGTATCGCAGTGTATATTAGTAGAAGTTAGTTGGTTGGAGGCAATCGGAAGGAAGCCCTGGACCTAGGTTTCGTGCTTGTTGGCAGTCATCAACAAGGTGTATCTGCAACCTCGTCTGCACTCAGGACTAGACAACATGACCAATCAATACATGTAACCCAGTCCCTACAGGATGTCAGTCGTGGTCGAAATAGCTCAGTAGTAAAGTCTCTGACTGATGCGGGTTCGAATCCCAGGTGGGACATCAGTTCCATCGAGGTTGCAGATACGCCTTGCAGAAGAGTGCCAACAAGCATGAAACCTAGGTCTAGGACTTCCTACTGAATGCCTCCAACCAACTGACATCTACTAATGTGCACTGCGATGTTGAGCCTCCTAGCTTAGTCGCCACAGTGCAAACGTGATGGACAGGATTCGGTCTGCACTGAGGAATAGACAACATGAAATTGGTTGCTCTCCCGTGACCAATCAATACAGATTTGGAATGTATACAATCAATTTCAACAAAGCATGATATCTCAGCAACAGCCACAGAGTAGTAAACAGTTTTTTTACAAAGGGTAGTCTACCATGGAAGTTTTTATTGTTGAGTGCATAGTAGAGGATGCCATAATCTTATAGACCCTTAGATAACAACAGATGTTCAGATTAATTATCTAGGAGAACAACTTATAGAATACAGAGTTCAATCTATAATCAGGATTAAATTTGCACAGTTTCTATAAAAACAACAGCATTTATGAAATTGAACATTCATATGACTCCCTGTTTGGCGTGAAATGAAAAAAAAAAAAAGAACTTACCTTATTAACAGGTGGTCTTAACTCTTGATGAACATCGTTATGAAAAATGATATGTGTAACAGACGGTACCAAGTCTGATATAATATCACCATCATAAGTGAACGAGATTATCCAATAATATAAGTAAAGGAAATATCATTGATTTATTGGTGTAAAACTTGGGCACTGTGTTAGAATTTAATTCCATATTAGATTTGTTTATTTTATTTATTTACTTGATGGTGTTTCGAGAATAAATTATTGAGTAACTAAAGTAAGTTAATTGATACACATTTGTGTTTAGAGATGGAAAACAGACAAGGGATCATGAAAATAAGATTGTCATTGCGTAGTGCAGGTTAAATCTATGACAGAGTAGAACAATGAATAAGGTATATACGTGTAGTTAGTTACCTGATACACGGTTCGATCAAACCACTCGAAGAGAGTTTTTGAGCAATTAAACTTAGCCACACTGTGACAGATTTAATCCTTGAGGTATCCGATTGCAGATTTGAACAGTGCTGAGAAGTATCATTTTCTTGTTTAGTAAACATAAGATTGCCGAAACTGATAGACACTCGTCATCAATATAATTTGTATCAAATAGAGTTAACTGGTTAACTCTTACAACAGTATCTTATCTTTTGTCATTCGATTTATAGTTCATATTTTGTTATGAACTGAAATTAAAATCTGCTCCTTAATGGAATCATTTCATGATATTTCAAAATTACTCCTACACGGGAAGCGTCTTGTTATCTGATCACAGCTTCCTTTCATAATATTATAGAAACAAGTCAGTTGTCAGACAACGAGAGTAATACATGAACACGTAAAGAAAAAGACACTTAATTCATCAGAAACACCAATCACACTACGAAGACTTTAAGGAAGTCTACATAGATATTTATGTGGTACCCATTTCTCTAAAATTCTGCACTATGCCAGTTCTCCCAGTATGGGTAAATAACAGGTTCAAACTTAGGTAGGTTTGTATGTGTGTGCCGAGTAGTGTCTATCGCCTATTATTTAAACAGACTCTGGGAAAGAATTTCGCTCGTAATGCATTTATCTGACTCTTTCTAGGGACAAATGAATTCCCATTGGACCTCTATAACATATATCGGACGTCATATTCCGTTGGTCAGTGAGTTCGAACAATTAATCCATCTCATTCTGATGACACAACTAACAGGTTAGAATGTATAGCCTTGTAGGAGAGAAATTAGTCCACTTACTGAGTTGTATCCCCATTTCTGTCAAGTATCCGAAACAATTCAGTTTGATAAACTGAATACACTGTCGAAATGTTTGCATGTAAAGCGAATAGAATAATCATCTAAGCTACTTACAGAAAGGTCAATCAATACTGCGTAACACTCATGTTTTGCACAAGTACTTCTTAACTACTCACTTTGGTAATCAGTAGTAGACGATGAAAACAAAATCAAAAATACATTCAACTCGGAGAAAAGGATATGCTCTAATTATTCGTTTCAATTTTTTCACTTCTTCACTATCATTACCATCCTTGGAGCAACCATAAATGTAGAATAATTTTCCTGTGAATAAATTATACAAATGTTTAGCTGGTCGAATAACATCTGAAGAAATGGAAAAAGGGAAGAAACATTTAATGGTGATTTAGTCAAATAGTTCAATAGAGTTGAGCATTACTTAAAGAATACATATCTATAGCTTCAAAACATTTGTAATGAACAATCGCATGTGCTTGTATGTGCAGCTCAGTAACTATGTCGAAATGTGTGCACAAGGTTATATGCAGAAGTTATCGAGTACAAACTTTCCTGGTGAAACATCGGCAAGCGGAGTGTGGTTTACACTTAAAATCCACTTAACTTGAATTCAAGTGTTATTGAACCAACGTGTCGAAGCTTTATGCGATATCAGAATGCATTGTTTAAATGAAAGCTAAATTATTCCCATCATTTCAAAAATAAATTAGTTCATAGTGGTTTATTCGACTGACTGTATACATTGTTCAACTGTATTATTGACTTGATTTCTCGTGTACACCTTATCAGTGAGTAAGTCCTATCGATATACCTATCGACTACTTTTAAAGATTACTTGACATCTTTATCAAGATAATCTTATTGAAGATTTGCATATTTTCTAGGTCGAATACATTCATTGCATGTATTCTCCTTTGAGCAGAAATACCCTGCGGATAGTTAAATATGTAGACAAAAAGTTGACCATAACGACTGATTCATTTAACTTTCATTTTGACCTCCTTTGTTATTGAATCGTTTGAGTTAGACAATGCAGAGCGAAAAGAACTGTTAGGTTTTTGAGTTGCAGTGATTCTAAACAGGATTCAAAAGATCAGTCTTCGTCTCCTAGACTTAGGCTTTTAGTAACAAAGAATAACTCTCGGCTTAGTGATGACCTTGATAAACATCTGTCAACAAAGTTGTGACATCAGCTACTCACTGGGAAACGTACATGATTCTTTATTATTCCAAGCAGATTGGTGAACAATGGTGTTGAGAATGCAAATCTGCATCTATTACAACGCGTCAACCATAAGTACTTGTATCTGTGTTGTTGTTGTCCCCCAGTGAGACATTCCAACCTTAGTACTCAGTGCTACGAATAGTCGTCTACTGAGTTGAGTTGTGATTAAACACTTCTACCGTAGTAGTTACTAACTATAGCTAGTCATTGTAATCTCAACAGAGGAAAACTGATGATACTATTGAATAACCAATACTATATTATCTAATCTTAAATAACGATTGAATTCTATCAACCTCGTTTGCAAAGCGATCACCAAACTAGGAAACTCACCATTGCATTACAATTGGATTGATGTTAGGTGAATGTAATCCAGGTGTAACATGCATTTTCACTCATACTATTGCTCTGGTAATTAGTGACTTTCCACTGTGGCAGAGCATAATTCTATATTAGATTGCTTATTTGATATGGTACACAGTGATGTAGTATCGTTTACTGGATAACATTTTGAGTAGAATATATCGTTTATGTTCACAACAAAGTGATCACAGAACTTTCAAACTTCACCTTTATATATAGTTCAACAGTTCATTCATTTCAATTTCGAGGTTTGTGGAGATTTATTAGTTGATTTCAGGTTGATATTCACCTTGAACTGATATCACTCGGAGAACCATTGGAAACCTAGGAGCATTAGATCATTATTTCGTCCTAGTATGGAACTCATCAGCAGCTCGCACTTATGACCCCTCTAGGGGTCGAACTCAGGAGATTCATGTTCTGAGAGAAGTATGTTACCATTGAGTAGGTATTCAATAGTACACATTTCCCTACTTCTGCCAGTCCACCGTCCTCATGTCTGACTTGGTTAGCCCCACCGGTCACCACTTTTCATAGAAACCTCGGGAATCACCTCTTGAAGTTAGTCGCCAATAAAGCATCAGATGAATTCAACTTGGAGATTTGTTTATTTATATATTTTAATGATAGTAAAATTTTCCAGATATCTGCAACATACGACGAGTTATTCCTGTCACATGTATTACGCGCTGGTTGTTTCAATGAACAAGGATTCTGTGATCCATCTCTCTCTACAAATAGTTAGATTTCAGAACCGTCACTTTATGCCACTTACTGTATAGTGTGATTATGGGTTAGTGCATGTAAAGTGATAGGCGACTTTCCACCCTAGTTACTTATCTTACTAGGGTCTATCAATATATATTTCGTTAATATTTTGTGCTATGATCTGCTATTCTAACTTACCCTGATCGACTGTTCTGACCTATACACTTGACCTCACATTTATCATTACATAACATTTCACATACCAGGTTAATTATCTCTACTGGATCTTTTAGTCTGCAGTGTTTCTCTTTGAGCGAGGTTGTGGTTTTAGACGTTACCCTAATCCCAGACAGCAATGTTAAGAAATCCAAGCAAAAATTTCTAATGTACCTTCTTTTCACTCCCTCAATATTCCGAAAATACTTCTAATAGATTTAATTTTTTCTTTATTCATATTGATTGGAGTTTCACTATTACCGTATTTATTTTTACGACAGTTTTATCTCATCTGTCTATCGTTCTACCGACATAATATTCTCACACGATTACGCAACCACTTCCACTTACTTCTAATCTTATCGAATTTTATTCGTGAACATACCTCAACTTGCTTTGTACAACCTTTATGTAATCTGACTAAATTTATTACCGGAGATTGCTTTGTGTTCTCAATTATTATGCTTTCCTGATCTTAAAAACATTAACCGGTATCTTAAAACACTCCACATAAGGTATGCTAATGTTTGTTATATCGATTATTTACTTATTTATTCAGGTTGTATGAAACTGAAGAAAATCCCATGAAATGAAATGACGCCATATTATCCTACACACCGTTTTCCCATTGCATTATTCATTTTTATACATTCAGCAATGAGCAGTACTCAAAGAGTAATGGTTTTTTATATGAAGCTACCTGTTTACAGGAATCTCGATAACGAAAGCAAGGTTTGAATGATAAGTTTCAAATTAGCGGTGATTGATAAGTTATTTTTACTTGAAAGTGCTAAACTTAGAGAATGGAGAATGCATAAAATTAAAATAGCGAAAGCAATCAATATGCGAAAAGCCGACAAACTAACCTGAATCTTGATGGTGCCCAACTTTTGTGTGCGGAGAGGATGTTTTGCGCTTTGATGTTCCACTGATGGCTACTTCATAAAACGAATAAATACATTTTATACTTAGCTTGTTAGATAATTGCAGAAGCGCAGGTTATACAAAGAAATGGGTTAAGAAATGAGCAAACAAATCAATTCCAAGAAAGTATTTTGTTTTCATCTGCGGTATATATACCTGAACGATATAATGCTCCGACACGATATGATCAACAATAGAACAATGATCTCTGAACACAATATTCAGCTATCACCAGAAGAAGAGAAATGGGTCGAAAGTATATTTACTTCAACCGAATGGTACGATTATACCTGAAAGTTCAGTCGTTTATATACTTTTCGAAGTCTTGATCAGGGAAATAGTAAATTAAAAGTGTAAAATTAACCAATTAGTGTCTAGCATCTTAAACCGCGTTAAAAACAATTAACATGGCGAGAAGCAAAAAAGGCGTGAAATAAAAGTTTTAAATTTTACAATGACAATACAATGACAATAAATACTGTTACAGCGTGTAGAAACATTGAAAAAGTCCTCATAAGAAGCTGCATATGCCTAAAACCTTTCTCAACCAATCACTTTGCTTCGAAGTTTCGGGAAAAAACACGTACATCAACCTGTATCAGGTTGGTTGATGAGACAAAAATCAAAACGATTCAAATCTGGAAAAGCGTGGAAGTACCGGAGTCTATTGTAATACACATAAAACTATAATTTGTATATATTGTAGACGTTTCCATTGACATTGGAAATGCGACTTCTGTTATATGACCGCCTTTTTCCGCTACGGGGGAACTGAGCAACCAGCAGGGAGTGGAATTTTAGGGTTATTATTCAAGCGTCCGCACGTATAGAAGTCCCCCAGAAAATATAACTAGTGGCAATACAGGAGCTAAATAAAACACATACTAGGAGTTAATTTTTTAGGGATCACTTGTTCCTAACATATTTACTAAGTAAAGACAATACTTGAAAGGTTTTAAATGGCACCGCTTCATGTATAATTTGGCGATTAACTTTTTGCTAGACGATTTTTGCGGTACCTATGACAGTAAGAACAAAATTAGATGGCTACGACTGATGACAAAATATCGGTATTATGCAGTCTGTACTCATTACAAGATCATAAGTAGATTTCCTCCTAAACAGGTGCATAAATGAGGCAGGAAGTTATCATGGAAATTAGTTATGTCCAAAATTGATAAGACGTGATGTGAACTGTTTTTGGATATGAACCAGGCAGTACATAAGACTCGACTACACTTTCACCGTTTGGTGTATTCAATCCAGTTCTATACAGAGTTAGTCAGTCAGTCTAGTTCCGAACAATTCACAGTAGTTGCATGTTTGATCAAAACATTGTGAGGTACAAGTTTGAAACTCTAAAAGTTGAACCGCGGTCAGATTCGAACCTGCAACCGGGTTTCCTGTCTGGTGCTGTACCGGAAACCCGGTGGTCGTTGATTTGAATCCCGCCGAGTTCCAAATTTTCACTTCACCTTCAATCATCACCCAGTATCAATGCTAGTCTGCCGAACCACAGCTATTTAAGATGGTCAAAATGACTTATATTTCAACAATAAAGATATATATTAGGTTAGAAAGGATATACGTAAGTAATTTGAGTGGAAGAATTCAGGTGATCGAGTATGGTGACATGACAAAGTTAACAATGAGTCTTCCAGAAATCGATGTTCAAATTATGAATTCTAGACTGACGGAGAAGAAGAGGAAAAGACATCATTGCATAATCAATATCTACCATCAGGTATTTATCATTTCTCAAGTAGTGTCTGATAAGTAAGTAACGAGAAAAGAATTGATGGATATTGAAAACATTACAGTCAAACTCACCGGATGATGTTGACGAAGACGATGAAGTAGTAGACATTGTGGTTGTTGCATAAGAAGTATGGTTGTTAGGAGTATATATTGTAGAGTTGTGCAAATTACTCGGTCGATGGTAATATCTTCAGATACGCAAAGATTGTTATAGAATAGCTCTCAGTTAAAGAATATGATGAAAATTGAAAAAAAAGTGATGAAATGCTTTTTAAAAAAGCATCCATATTCTTTCAGTCGATAGAACAACCCACTGAGTATTGAATTCTTATACACATGAAGTCTTCAATGATCAAAAACAACTCGTCTTGAAAATGATTTATTATTTGTCCCTTAGGTTCCTAATGAAACATAGGGCTTCAGTAGCACTTCTTCAATACGCTCTGTTCTCTGAAATCTTTTGAACCTAGCTCCACGACAGCCCACAACCTCTCATTTCTTCCTCGCACGATCTCCCCCATGTCACCCTCACCTGGGACGCCAAACTCGTCGCTTCCCATGGGGGTTCCACTCGAGGTGCTGACGCGTGATGTTCCCAGTCAGTCTTCTCAGTGTATGCTCAATGCACCTTCACTTCCTTCTGCATATTTGTTGAGCGATGGGTTCTTGGTTGGTTCGTTCCCAGAGTTCCTTGCTGCTTATTCTTTCTGGCTATCTGATCTTCAGTAACGAGTCAGCGTAGGCAGTTGTTGATGAATGTCTGTAGTTTGTTGGAAATCCCTTTCGTAATGCACTAAGTCTGTGAACCATAAAGAAGCATTGACTTGACGTTGGTGTTGAAAATCCGGATCTTGTTCCACATGCTGAGTGTAGAAGATCTCCACACTGGTTTCAGGCTAACAAACGCCTGTCTTGCTTTTCCAATCCTGACTTGGACGTCCTCGTCTGTGCCGCCTGTAGTTGAAACGATGCTGCCTGGGTAGGTGAAAGAGACTACTTCCTTTAGATTTCTCCCGTTGGTTTTGATTGGTGCTTGTTGTTGTTGGTGGTGGTGGTTGGGTATCTTCATCACCTCTGTCTTCTCTACATTCACTTCAAGTCCCGTTTTTGCTGTCCTGCCTCTTCTGTCAACTTGTTAGTTTTTGCCTGTAGATCTTCGAGTTTGTGTGACACTAGACATAAGTCATCGGTGAAATCCAAATCTTCTAGGGTCTTTTCTTTGGTCCAGCCAGCGCATGCCCCTCTTCTCGCTCCTCACTGTTTGTTGCATGATCCAGTCCACTAGAATCAGGAATATCATGGTGATAGTAGACAGTCTTGTTTCACTCCTGTCTTCACTTCAAAGGTGTTGCTGAGCTTTCCATTGTGAATTACTTGGCATGAGGCGTCTACATATAGTTGTTGAATGAGGTTGATAAAGGTTTATGGCACTAAAGCCGTAGTGTTGAAGCAGTTTCCAAATTGCCTCTCGGTCGACGCTGTCAAAGGCCTTCTTAAAGTCGATGAAGTTGGGGTAGAGGGTTGACTGCCATTCTACACTCTGTTCTATGATGATGCGTAGAGTGGCGTTGCAATTTGGTCAGCACATGATTTGTACTTCCTGAATTCAGCCAGACTGTTCCGGTCGTAGTTTTGAATCCAGCGCATCCCTTAGTCTCTGCAGGATGATGCGGCTTAATATTTTGCTTGCTTTGGGTGGACAAGAGCGTGATTCCGCGCCAGTTCTTGCAAACACTGAGGTCTCCCTTCTTCGGGAGTTTGACAAGGTAACCTTTCTTCTAATCGCCAGGTACCTTCCCTTCCTTCCAGATCTTCCGCAATAGTGGTGTGAGCATGTCTACTGTTGTCTCTGCGTCTGTTCTCAGTGCTTCTGGCGGAATTCCATTTGGTCCTGATGCTTTCTCGCATTTCAGTAGCTTTATGGCTTTAAAAGACGTTAAAGAGTGAATAAATCTGCGCCACTATGACTTGTTTCCAGCCATGTCACCAAGAATTCTAAACCACTGATTCCTATCACCTAGCGGACACCAACCAGGTAGTCCAAACCTCCCACATGGCTCACACCAAAAGCAAGGGACCTCATCGACTGGTGCTATGTCCTGGTCTCGCCATCCCGAAACACTCTTCCAATCTAATCCAACTTCCTCTAGCATTCTACGTTTAGGTAGGTGGTGGCTCAGTATGAGCGGCATATGATCAAGCCAGTCGACTAAGGTTCACAACTTCATCGACTGACCCCAACACTGTTCAAATGATGATCCCGCTATGCCAAACCGATGACGCGAAGACACTTGTGGTTAAAAAATTGTATCTGCATCATATCCTCTACTTGAAACGGTCATATCTCACAGCCAGCTAAGAGGACAGAACAAACTGCAACGCAATATACTCGTCTCTTAATAGGTTGTCAGATATCTTTCCAGTCTTCGCCGCAGATGACGTAAGTTAGCAAATGCCGAATGAGCCTTCTGAAACTCTCCAAGTAAGTGACGTGGTAGACGCATTCAACCACTTAAACCTCTACCATTAAACTGGGAGCAGTTGCAGGCCAGTTCTTCAGCATCGTCTTGGATTTCACAACAAATGCGAAATTCCTGCCAAACACTCGGATTTCTGCTCACCCTTTCGAAAGACTCTGGATTCTGTCAGCGTCTTCATCTAATAAAACTACATCGTCTGCATACTCCAAGTCAACTAGATGACTTCCAAGGAACTGGTACGAGTAGTCAGCTAAAAATTGGTTCTAGTCTTTTACAGAAGAAGAAACAAATGTTTAGGGTACATGACGTTATAAGAATTAACTTCATAAAAAAAGCTTATTTATTCACTCATTGTCTTACAGCAAATCTGGAACACTAAACCACTTTGACGAAACTCATGTAGTTCTCAAGTCAATTTTAATATATTTGTACCATTAGATGATCGTATTTCTTGTGCCTATCGCTCATGACAACGTAACCTGGGTTCTATTATTATGGGAACACAAACTGGGTACCAAGAGATCCGCTATCTAAAATGTTGAAGTAACATTTAAAAAAGGTGGAAACAAAAAGGGGTTATCAAAGAAGCACCCTCAAAGATACACCATCTTAACTAGTTGACAACAACAGAAGTAAACCAACTTACATGGTGTACACTATATGTGTTTTATATGAATGAAAATGTCCACAAAAAATCATATATATTCTGATAACACTATTATACTCTTCGATTTCTTGCTTTGCGATAATACATCTATAAGATTAAACCAATTACTTTAACTTTTATAGAATACTAGATTAAAAAACAAATTAGTTTTCAAGAAGAAAACAGATTACATAAAGGATACACATATACTGAGATCCCATAATGATCCACCAAATGTTTCCTTAACAATCTTTCAATACTGTACCAAGTCAATGCACGATCACCATGTCCCAATCGAGGGATATGAACTGAACCTTAAGATTGAAAAAGAGACAACAGGTGAACCGAATATCAAAGGATGTTAAAGTAGCAATCACACATAGAACATATACATCAATAATTATCAGTAGGGCTATATATCATCACGAGTTGATCAGTTAAGTTCTGTTCACATAAACAAGAATTGAATCCCACTCAACAACCTTGTATGGATTTTTGCAGTAGGCACTGAGCTACACCTATTGTGTAAGGCTAAAGACACTATCTGGCTATCCAAACCTTGGTAAGTGGATCCGGGCTTGAACCCATGACCGAACGGTTGGTAGTCATCACCCTTAAGCCAATGAGCCACAACTCTACAGATTAACATCAAGACTAAGCAACATGTTATTTGATAATATTTATTACACTAAGAAAGGACTATCAATCCTCATCAGTTCTATAGATAACATTATGGAGGTTGAAGAAGCGCTAGCTACAGGTAGAACCAACATGTGGTACCAGTCTATGAAGTAATGGAAAATGTTTGTAGCTCAGATGGATGGTCTCGGTCACAATTAAACAACCCAGCTCAGAGAACACAATACAACCAAGAGTCTATGAAGTCTCTGACTATTGTGATCTGAGTCATGTAGTGAAGTGTAGCCTATTCGGCTGGAATTCTGGCAATGATAAGAGATTAGAGAATATTGATGACATGGCTGAAAATCTGTCACATTTTGAATACCTTAATCAATCTTTTTGCCATACCTCTCCGATGCATATTGTAGTGGGCGTTACTGATCAGAATGGATACAAGTAGTATATGTCAAGAGGGCGGCAGAAATCATAGGCAATTACCAGCAATGGGTAAGGAGTGAAATGGCGACGTGCTGCTGAAGCCCTATGTTCCACTAGGGACCCAAGGGACGAACAAGCGAGGAGTTCCAGATTATTCAAAAAAAAGTTGAGTTGTTCGCTAACTTTAGTAATTATAAATCTGGGCATTTACAATCACTAAATACACTTAATTGGTGAATGTTTACTACTTACACAGTTTTAAACGAGCACATGCCATACCAAGTGCATATAAACTTCTTTCTAATGCATTCAATTGTAACGATGGTGGTTTACCAATTGAACGATTACAATTTGTTCGTTTTTGAGCAACCAATAGACCACAAAAATTAGTTGACCATTCGACATTATTTGAATTAATCTTGCCACTATAATTGACTAAATATTCACCAAATGTCTGTAATGTTTATTCAAAGAAGGAGAAAAGTAATTATAATACATCACCCTTATAAAAGAATAAATCTATAGAGAATGAAATGATGTAGAAAAGATTTGAGTGCAACACCTCACAGAATTACAATTTTCCAATGTTTGCCAAACTCATCATCATGATCAATATCAACAAAGGGACCAGGCATTACTGCATCATCGTGCAAAGTTGCCACACCTCATACCAGCATATCAAGTAACAAAGCAATAAGATGAAGGATGAGGAAATGCTGAATTCAGTATAGCGATTAAGACAATGTATGGATACACCTGCGCCACTGAGGTCTATTCTCAGTTATATGATTCAAGTCTTCAGCCATTGGTTTCTGTTATCATACGGACCCCTACACGACTCAAACCAACAGTCAGAGACTTCATGTAATGATGCCATGTTTAGTCTAGCTATCCCAAACAGTTTTCCAGCCCTAACCTACTTCAGCCAACAGTGCACAACCAGGCGGATGATGACTTGGCATGCACAACACATCTCTACCACCTCAGCCGACGGAGCTTCACAACCGCATCAACTGACTTTTTTATCCTCTCCAAAACTCGACACCTGACTTCTGCGTTTCTCGCGTGGTGATACAATGGTGCGCGAATGTCAGAAGCCTTTTCATATCCTCTACCTTTAACAGTCATGTTTCACAGCCAGAGTAGAACAGAGTGAACTTCAGCACGATGACCGGTTATCATGGCAGTGCCACATGTAGCGTAACTTAACAATAACTAGTTGAGCCTTTAGTATCCGAAGAGAAATTTAGTCGGCCACTAACCCACCAAGGTTGATCTGACTCCCCAGGTAAGTGAAGTGTTCAACAGAACCATTTCAATCTCTATCGTTAACCGGGGCACCGTTGAAGATTAGTCCTGGACCAACAGTCTCCATTTAGGTGGCAAGAAACACATCCTAAACATTCTCAAATTGCCAGTTAAGGGGTATAGAAGCCTCTACATCTTGTCGGCGTCTTCTCCTAAAAGGACTTTACATCTACCGAGGATTCCCATGTGATTAGATTAATCCCTGTGAAATCAGACGACGAGAGTTTACTGATATGTTGTTTATTATAGTACGAAAAAAATATCCGTCAGTAATGTGACTGACTGTCTTCGATAAGCATTTTGCTTAAGATGGTGTTAAGTTCTCAGGTAGATTCAAATCACGAACCTATAAACTAACCGGTTGGATTCACCTACTTCTAATTGAAGTAACAGAGGAATAATTATTGAACAAAGTGGATAACATAACTAACTAGTCATTACATCACACTTAGGCAAAACTGTAGGCAGTAGCAACTGGAAATATAATTCAGTAATTTGTCGATTCCGATAAACAACTACCAATCTGAACGTTGAAAATTCACATTCAACAACAATCGCCATTCTAATGTAAGCAGTAACATTTACAAATAGGATTGATGAGAAGAAAACCATATAAACCAACTTAGAAGAAATTGTCACCTGGTGGAGGAATCATATCAAGATTAGGAAAGGGTGATATTGGATTTGACCACATCGTACTTTCTGAATTGAAAACGTAAGTCATTGAAATCTGACATGTTATGATACTGAAAAAAGTGTACAAAGACCTTCGATGACTATAAATTCAAATGAACTGGTGCTCATTGGTGACTAGCTTCGAGAGGTATTCTGGAAGTTCCAATGAGAAGTCGTGACCGGTGGGGGCAAAGCCTGATGGTCGTGAGTACATTGGGTAGCGGTTGCGCTGTATCGTGAGCTAACAGAAGTTGGAAATATAGACCACTGGATTCTGACCCAGTGGCTCAATGGTAACGTGCTGGAAACGGAACCTGAAGGTCGCGGGTCCGATCCCTGGCGGGGTCGTGGGTGTGCACCACCGAGAAGTCCCGTACTAGGACGAAACAGCTGTCCAGTGCTCCCAGGTTTCCTTTGTTCCTCCAACTGATGTCAGTCTACGATGAATAACAACTTGAAATATTTCCAAATCTCCACAACTCCCTCAAAATTTAATATAATATTCTTGTTGTTCGACTTCTCGATGATAGGGAAAGCGATAAATTTATTGCTTAATCCACATACAGAACACTGCGACATATGTATGTCGTCAACATCCACTCTATACTAAGCCAAAAACTCTCAAATAATTGATTTTGCTGATTTATTTATTCAGATGATCACACGTATAGTCGCGTATAGTGGAAGCAACTTATAATGTATATCAGTAATATATACATACAGTAACATAACGAAGCACAAAAGTAATGGCACTAACCAACTCATGAAAATTCAATGAGTAAGAAAACACAATATCAAATGAAAATTTATAGGGCACGAACACCAATCAGTGGGATCGCGAATAAGTGTTACCGAATGCAACTTTATTATATGGGGTTGAATATCTTTATCACTACAGACTTTAATTTTGTAATAAGTCATCTCAGCTGTTCTATTTAACCTTCATACCATCTCAATCTCACACTTCTGAACTTCGCAACCAACTGCTAATACAGTTGGTTACATCTAGATGTTTTTGCTTCTGACATCCTCCAACTCAACGAACCCTGCTTCGTAGGTCGAATTCGCCCAGTCTTTCAGAAGACTGCTCAGCGCTATCAATCTCCATTCTAGCTTCTAAGCCTAAAAAACTCTCTTAAAGTCTTTCATGAAAGTTTCGACATCTCCATCCTCAAACGCTTCAGGTCAAGATACCTTCATCAAGAAGGTAGGCGGCGACACTAATGAAGAGACGTTCAATGGGAACAGAAAAGACGGTTAATTAGAAAATTACAATTGGTTGATAAAAAAAGAAACCTAATCATCATCCATCCAAATCAACATAAGACCAGGCATTAATGCGTAACGATCCAACTTGTCACACTTCATATCGGTACATCATGTAAAAAGGCAGTGAAGTGAAAGATGAAAAAAAATGAAGTCGAAGAAATATAAATTACTTAAATAAAGAAAGGAAGAATGAAGAAATGGTGAGACTCGGTACATAGTAGTTAGGATGAGAATAAAGTGTGTATGCATCTGCGCCATCGATATTGGTTCTGAGCCATATCACCAACAGTCTCCAACCACTGGTTTCTCTTGTCCCACGAACCTCAACCATCAAGTTTGCATCGCTCTACATGGCTTAATCTAACAGTCTAACACTTCATACATTGGTGACATGTTTTAGTCTGGCCGTCCTAAGTTTCTTTCCAGCCGGCACCTACTTCGGCCAACATTGTGTGGAGAGGTAGACGGCGACTAGGCATATGTAACATGTCCCAACCATCTCAGTCGATGGAGGTTCACAACCTCGTCAACTGACTTGCATCAACTCCCTAAAACTCCACGTCTGACTTCTGAGTTACTCACATGGTGACACCACGGAATACGGTCCATACTAAGAAGGCAATGGTGGTCAAACACCTGAAGCCTTCTCACGTCACCCACTTTCAATGGTCATGTTTCACACCCATACAGTAGAATAGAGTGGACTGCTGTGGAGTACACGCAACCCTTAATAGACAATTGGATATGACGGCGGCGCCACAAATGGGGTAAGTTGACAAAAGTCAACCGAACCTTTTGCATTCGTGCAGAGATTTCATCGGCCACTGAGTCACCAGGGCAGGGTTGATCCCACTTCCAAGGTAAGCTAATTGGTCAACAGACTCAACCATTACACTCTCCATTGTTAGCCGAGGCACCGTTAAATTCTTCAAACACTACTGATTTACGTCCCAGTGTTTAGTGTTCTTGCTCTCTATTTTTCTGCTTGGTGTTGTGTCTTCTTCCCACTTGAGTTTTTATGAGTCGATTATTGCCACTTTTTGTGTGTCGTGATATACTGCGCCATATATTACTGATATATACTGATATAAGTACTGGTCCACACACTGTGATTAGCTAGAAAATACAAACTAGCTCATATATATATATATATATATATATATATATATATATATATATATATATATTCAATGTTTTCTAACTTCTTTCAGAATCCAGAAGAAAAATATGATGCATTCTAAGAGAAGTTATTCGAATGATGGAATGGTGACGAGCTCGCTTTGAAACCCATGGACTCAATCCTTCATCCAGTCATCGTTGCCTACTTCTGAAGAGTTGCAAACTAAGACGAGGCAGCTATCCAATGCACCTTGGCTTATGTTTCAGTCCTTGATGATCAGTGATAAGAAGTAAATCAATTTTTCAAGAAACTTACGCCCATGCTCATGTATCTGATATGCATTCAGTTTCCTTGCATCAAGCTTTACTTCAACCTATACTCTAAATTTTATTTCTGAAAAGTGATGCTCTAAATATATGAGCAAAAATCACAATTGTGTGCTTTAAAGGGATGATGGCGCGCGAACAATCATTCCAAAGAAGGTTATCAACACAAAAGTACACACACACACACACTACACAATTTAGAAATTTAACAGTAGTGCGCACCTATGGCCCTGCGAGAGATTGAACTCAGGATGTGCAAGTTCCGAGGCCAGCACGTTACCACTCAGTTAGTGGGTCGAAGTTCAATGGTCCATATTTCCGACTTGTGTCAGTTCATGATATAACCCAACCTCCATCCCATGTTATCGCTGAGTAATGTACTAAATGGATGGATTGTAGTTAGTACAAATGACTCTCTGCCTAATCAAAATAGGCATAGAGGGTTAAAAGTGCGAGTCAAAGAATGTTAAGTGTAACCCTTTTAACAAAATAGTAAAACGGCTACACACATTCAGAGGGTAAAGATCCCCTACTAATACCTGGGAATTCATCTAGATGAATATTATTGAAATATAGTTCTAAAAAACATCTAGACTCACTTGAATTTTTTTCTCAGCTAACAATAAGTTATCAGGATTCTCAACTGGAATAAGTAAACAATCACCTAATTCTATGTCATCCATTTGACCAGCTAGTTCGTATACACTTTTAATCTGACTACTTCGTGCATCCAAACTACGAAATATACCTCCACGACCCCAACTTCCACTGTCATCTGTAGAAGTAATATGGATACACAGATTAGATACACTGATTAGATTATAACTTTGGTTTATTAGGCTAGAATTAATGTAAGATTAGGCAGGCTGATGGTTCGAGAAAATACTGGGGTATAAAACAACTCAAGCAACCAATCTCCCGGTTACAAATATGACGTTCTACTCTTGTCACAGTTCTGTCAACGTAGTATGTACGCATTCTGGAAATCAATGACTGTCAGTTTGAATTCTGTTATAAATCAGGTTGTTTTTCAAGTTCGATCGTCACCCTGTTATGTATGCGTTAACTAGTTGGCTGTAAGTAATGTAAATATCACAAATAAAAGTAGATAACACCCAACTTGCCCTACTAATAAAAGGGATAATTATTTATAAAAAGGTACGGATGTAGGCAAGAGCGTACGCTGAATATAATTTCATATGTGAAGATAGAAAACCTTCAAAAAACTAAACTATCTACGAAACTATACTTCGGAAAATAAGAGGAGTGTAATGCGATTTTGCGAACAGATACAAGTGTACTCAGCGGAATACGACCCATAAATATCGAGAATCCAAGTCATTCCATAATATTCGGCTGCTCAAGATTTCAGTAAGTGGAATGAAGTTTATGTTGTATTGCACTTGGTGCCTAGCAGTGGAATCCCAAAGCGCACGTTTCATGCTGTTTGGGACACCAGTCAATAATGTTGTCCCCATCTGGACTCGAACCCAGTAACCATCGCCTCAGACGCCAAAGCGTTGTCCATTAGGTCACAAGAGCCACTTATTCAGTAACGGGTATCAGTTGTTGTTCAGTGTTACTTGCAATTTCACGTTGCTGTACTGGGCTGAATTGCTCAACCTCTGTCGGAGGATGGGCTCCTGTGCAAATGCCTCGATACTGCTTGGTTATTACTGCACTGTAGTCTATTTGACGGCTAGCAGTGCGGCGTTTCGCCCTATTTGAGACTCGTCAGCTGCCTCCCAGTGATTGATTTTCTTCCCACTAGGGCTCAAAGCCGGCATCAATCGCTCGAAACACCCGAGCGTTATCCATTAGGTCACTGAGTTACAATGGTTGAAATTGGGTGAGAAAAAAGAACTGAAATAAGGAATGCCAATTTTTCTTACAGAGGAATTCTAAACTTAACAGCCTTATCCAATGCAAATGTAACATGAATATATCAATTAAAAGTGCAACAATAGATCATTACAAAAGTACATACGTCGCTTTCCTACTAGATGATAAGAAACAAGTGATCAACCTAGACGATAGGTGTACTACTGGTTGTCAATAACCAGATAATTACACTAATAAAGTTGAAATCTCTGTAATTTTTTTTCAGAAACAAAAATTAATACAAGAACGTACTCCATAGTTAGCTTGTTTATAATCATAGTAAGCAGGGGAATCCAAAAAAATAAACCTGTTCATAGTCAGAAAACTCCACAATACATCATCGTTCAGTAGATTTAATAGATGGTTTGTAGGGGGACTGACATTATTTGAAGGATCATTGACAGTCAGGGAAAAATGAAAAACTATTTCTTCCTAGTATGAGACTCCTTAACAGTTTGTACTGACGAACCCATGACGGAATAAGTCCCAAAAATATTTGGTAATTCAGTATATCCTTTTGCTCAAATTAATAAAGTTTGAACACAATTAGTATTTCGTTTGTTTTAGTATTGTAACAGAGCTGGTAGAGCCATGGGCCAATAACTCACCACAAACTGATAGTTCAAATCCTGTTGTAACTTCATTCCAATTTATTTACGCACAGATATACATAAGATTCATTTTTAGCACATATTAAAAAAATATAAATACTTTTATTGCACGGGTATGTTCACTACCATGAAAAAACAAACAAGAACGATAGCAAAACATTATGGCGTATTATAAGGAACTATAAGCGATGCACATAATTTGTTCCCCCCACCTACTGATTGGCCAGTAGGAGGCAACCAATTTCATGTTCTCTAGTTCACGGTGCTGACCGGATCCTATCGATCATATTTGAAATGAGGCCTCCAGGCTAGGAGGTAACTTACCGATAGATGTTAGCTAGGCAATAGGCGAGAAATCCTTCTCAACCAAGGTTTCGTGCTCGTTAGCACTCGTCAGTAAGGCATATCTGCAACCTTAACGGAACTGATGCCCCGACTGAGATTCGAAACCTGAGTCAACCAATATTGCGATCAGTGACGTGGCCACTGAGCTATTCGGGCCACGATTGACCTCCTCCTATAGGACTGGATTACATACACAAGGTGACACAGGTTCAAATCTTAAAGAGGATATGTTTCCCTAATACGCTTTACTGACTCATGGAAAAACGCATGAGCCCTACATTTAGGGTTTCCTGCCCTGACCACTTCAACCAACTAACTTTTCTACCATTTTTTTAAAACAACTACTATATCAGAAGAAAATAACACACAACCTAATGAACACGATGTAATCATACACCTGACAGTAAAAGAACTGTTGTTCGAACGTTCAAGTAACATTTCAATCACCAAGATTATAAAGTTAAAGATTATCAATACACGTTTAAAAACTACCAATCCTGAGATAAGCATATAAATAATAACTAACAGACATTGATAACTAGGCATTTTTCAGAGTAGATTTAATGTTTAGAAAAATAGAAATGTCTAAACGATTCCTCCTAGTGGTCAAAATATGCTCACCTGAACTTACCAACAGTAAAACAAACAAAATACGGTGGTATACCATCAATACTATTTTCCGATCTGTTTATTGAGAAACAACTAAGCGGGCTGGAAGCATCACCAATTTTATAATATATCCTGGCAGTAGTCTGATTTTCACGGTCAATTTCTTCATCTAGCTCATTTATTGCATTGTCTACCTTTTCACTATTAGCTCCAGCGATATCAACATTGCTAGACCTACGGTTATGAATTAGATAAAGATCTAATTGTGCACGAATGGATTCAACTCGAAAGACACTGAATGTATTGTAATCGACGGATTGCCAGGAAGGAAGCCTGTAATAAATGGAAAGTGGGTAACTAAAGTACCATAAAATAGTCCTTATGACAAAAACTTCATTTACAACCATACTAACCTTGTTACCTACAACTGGAAAAGTCGATTGATGTTATGAACCTTAATCGATCGAGATAGCTTGGACATGTACTGAGCATGCTGAACAAACGCCTAGGGAAAGTTGGTTTAGTTGTAATGATACTTCTAAGTTCCTGTTGCAATATAGCGCCGGACTGCTCAAACTCTGTTGGAACATGGGCCCGTATGCGGATACCGGATATTCATGATGTTATATTGATCTTGGTGATTAGTGGAGGAGTCCAGGACGCGCAATTCGGCCCTATACAGCAACGGTAAATTACAAGTATCATTGCAACAACTGATACCCGTTGCACAAGGGGTAGCTTTCATGTTCAAGTGGCTCAGAGGATAACGCTCTGGCGTTTGAAGCGAAGGGTACTGGGGTTCGAGACCCGGTGGGGCAAAATCACTCACTCAGGTGCGGGTGTACTCAGCTGAAGAGTCCGGAATAGGATGAAACACGGGTCCTGAATTCCTCTGTTAGTCACTAAGAGGTTGGGTTCATTTGAAAGAGGGTTCAGAGTGGGCAAATCAACACGTGATACCAATCGACGAAGTCTCTGACTGTTGGTCTGAGTCGTGTTGGGGAGATGTAGACTGCATAGTTGGGGTCCCTAAGACGTAAGAACCAGTGGTTGAGGACTCTTGGTGACATGACTGGAAATCGGTCACAATAGCCCAGATGTATTCACCCTTGACATTTTTCAAAGCTTGAATATTCGCACCAACCTTTATCTTCAACTTGTTGATTCTCTCACACTACTTTACCTACTTTGATATTACTCCTTTTCTATTCGTCTGTTCTTTGTGTACTACTGTGAAGTGTGGCAACTTGAGCCGATGCACCTGTGTGCGAGGTTTTACGGCTGGTTTTGACAGTCAGTACTTTAAGCTGAAATTAGTCTTGATTGGACTTGTAAGCGGTTTGTCAGACAGATGAAACCAACGTGGAGCCTTGCACGGAACTCCGTAAGTTCAATTTCCCACAATTCACAACAGCATCCAAAGAACGACTGAATAGATACTCAATTATATTAAAAAGTAGAGAAGAAAATGAAGGTTGATGAAAATGTTCAAACTTTCGAAGACGTCAGAGAGTGAATACATTTGCACTACTGTAACTGGTTTTCAGCTACATCACCAAGGGGTCTCCAATCGTTGGTCCTTACAATCTCAGGACCGTATTCAGACATTATTTGCTTCTTTACACGGTTCAGATCTGGTGCATGTCTTCATCTGGTCACCTTGAACTTTCTTCCATCCCAATCGCACTTCAACAGACATCGTACATCAAGGGAGGGCGGTGGCTCTGTATGCTCAACACATATCCAAGCCGACTCAATCGCTAATTTGACTTGCCTTCCTTGCCAAGTATCCTTCGCCTAACGTCGATATTTCTTACATGGTGGTTAGCAGTGGGAACTTTAACAAGCTTTTCGTCTTGTTTAGGGTTTTTCAGCTGAATACACCAGGAAACAAGCATCTATCAGTGTACCTGATGAAAATAACGACGCAAAAGCTTTTTTTTAATTCGTTTGTAGTGCTTAGTTATAAAAGCAACCGACTATCCAACGGATACTTGTCATTAAACTAGCAGAGGTTTGTCAAATCAGATATGTAATGCAATAAATCACGTCTATTACCGCAAAGCCAACTTGAGAGTGCTTGGAAAACAGCATAAGATTCATTATGTAGACAATTTTGATGCTTACTACGCTATTTCCAGATAATATCAGAAGGTATGCTAGGTGACAAAGGGATAACGGTAAAAGATGTTCTGGCGATCTATTCCCTGTAAAACTGTCTACCTTCGTAGCACATACTTCGATGTATAAACTAGGCACATTGGTTATACAGTAATATCAGCGTATGCTAAACGAGGCACTGTGAAACGCTTGGCCTATTTGAGAATCATACACATTTAATTGCCACAGATGTATGGATAGCTAAATGGAGCAGTGAAGTTAATTATTCATTAATTCAGTCTGCAAGATAACCTTGGAAAAATCCGTATTAAAATTTGATAGTGGCTGCGGTTTGGTTGAGGAAAAGAACCAAACATTCAGAAACAGTTTTTCATGCAGTTCGTTCATTATTCAATTCCTAATCGTATCACATTGGCCTAATTACAGATAATACTACAAACTGCTACTTTGGGCTGCATCCATGTGTGTCAATCAGTTTATCTGTTCATGCGGTGTTGGTTATTTAGGTCACACAAAGTGCAGACTTTCCAAACGTATCTCTGAGCAATACCTTGCGTGGCTGTTCAGAAAAGAAGGCAAGTCAAGCAAGCAGTTTCATCGTGGATCGTTTGGACAACTCTGATCGTGTTGTTTCCCTACAGCCTTCTTTCAAATTCCTACACAAAGTCAGGTTAAACAGCTCTAAAGGAGTGTGGATTCGTTAGTAATGCAAAACAGAGGCGTTGCAAATCCAACAACTAGTCCCGAGTACAGAAGAGGTACATCTATTCTCTTATCTTGACTCTATCATAATCCTTCCTTGACTTTCATCATTGCTTCAATATTCATCTTACTCCCATTGACTGATTATCATTACTTCTTATTTTTACTTTGCGGTTTGCTTTCTAACACATTTTGGTATGTCAGCTGCAATCTCCCAATTAAACTCCTCATAATACTTAGTTACGATTGTTGATTATAATTAGCATTGTGTTTTTTTTTGAGTTGTTGATTTTTTTTCTAAATACATTAATCATCACGTTAATCTACTTTATATTTTCCTTACACACATCTGATTACGCAATCCCTCTTTAACTCAACAATCGACTCACTATTTCCACCCAGAACATTCCGTTTTGATGACATAATGTTGATGAATACTACCGCTAAATTAAAATCCCTATTCATCTCTAAAATGCATTACTGTATATTACTCAATAGTGACATGCTTCCAGATGGATATCATGAAGTCCTAATGAGAAGCCGTGACTTGTGGGGTCAATCAGTCGGAAGGGAAGTGGATGTCATCTGAAGACCTTGGGTGATAGTCACGCTATATCGTGAATTGACAGAAGTTGGAAACTGTGAACCAATGAACTCCAACCCAGTGGCTATATGGTTAACGCATTCGCTGTGAGACCTGAATGTCCTGAGTTCAATTTCTAAACGGGTCGTGGGTACGTACTGCTGAGGAGTCCCATTCCAGGACGAAACAGCTGTCCAATGCTTCCACGTTATCAGTGGTTCCCCCAATCGATGTCAGTCCCTGATGAATACTATCTCAAACAGACTCACCTGTTTGTTTGTTAATACCATAAATACGATTGTACAGCTGCTGAAAATGATTCGTCGAAAAGAAAATTTTCTACTCTCAATTACTTTAGGTTTCAATGCTCACAAATCAAACTGACTTAATTGAGGCTTCAAATTGCATCAACATAAAGAATTTATGGACTACAGTTTTCAATTCAAAATATATCATCATCATCATCAACATAGGACCAGGTATTACTGTGCAGTGGTCCAAATTGCCACACCTCATATCAGCATATCAAATGAAAAGGCAGTGAAGTGGAAGATGAAGAGAAAAAACTCAGTCAAAAGAAATATAAAGTACGAAAGGAGAGAAGCGAAGAATGAGAAAATGGTGAGATTCGGTATAGCGCCACCGACTTCGATTCTGATCCATGTCATCTAGAGTCTCCGACCACTACATCCTCTTGTCCCGCGTACCCCAGCCGGGTAGTTTGCATCGCCCTACATGACTCAAACCACCGGTCAAAAACTTCATACATTGATGCCATGTTTTAGTTTGGCCACCTCGAGCCTTTTCCAGCCTGCACCTACTTTGGCTAACATTATGTGACGAGGCCGACGGAAACTAGGCATGCGCAACACGTGTCCCAACCAAAATATAGACATACTACAAAACAGAAAATACGTATTATCATATAGTGCCTGGAGATGACTTTTAGCCTAGCCCCTTGCAAATATTCAATTATATGAGGGGAACTGGTTCACTGTCAGTAGCCGGCATGTTGCTATCTAAGCTTTATGAGCATGACTGATGCTGGTGGTCATTGTTCTGTTTAAATAGTGCGCGAAATGAATAATTTTAAATGATTTCAATTGATCTCATCATTTGTTTCAACACTGTTAATCTAGAGTGCCACATTAAGCTAACATGGTAAACAAGTTGGATACCTGCAGTGGACTGATTAGTTCGTTTAAACTGAGGCTTACAAAAACAAAACAGTTGTACATAAAATGTAGTTATCTTGGGAAAAATCCTGTAATTAGGATGTAAATTACCAGATATTCAGTGGCAACCATTTCATTTGACTTTAACTCATAATGATAATGATTAGCCAACTAGTATCGAGTAATCCTTAGATTGTTGTTAGGTATTATATTGGTATAGTAAAGGATAGGCGAAGTTTCCAGTGTTTTGAATAGAAATTATAGCTCAGTGGTAATATCTCTGACTGCAACAGTAGCTGACACGGATTCGAATCTCAAGCAAGATAACAGTTCCCACAAGTTTGGAGATACTCTCTTCTGACATGTGCCAGCAAGCAAAAAACCTAGGTTGAACAGGAATTCCTGCCAAATACCTCCATCCAACTAACATATCCACTGCTTCCTCACATGTCGTCTAGAATAATCTCTTTAAAGTGAGGGAGAAAATGCAGGAGTTTTAAGCCTATCATAAGATAATTGAATATTAAGAGTTTTAAAAAATCCTAAGTTATACATGATTTTAGTTGGATTTGGGTTTGAACTGCGTTAGTATGATTAGCCCTCATAAAATAGGTATGATACTACTTGTCTACGATATAAATCTGTACAAGGTTGAGTCGATTTCGCGGCTGAACGCTAAATCATATTTCGTAATATCCTTTACTCTGATTTCCTCTCATTCTTTGTAGATTTCTACAACTTATGATTAAATTATTTTTATTCATTTATCTCTAATATTGTTGTCTTGTGTCTTGATGCGTTGATGTAGGGAGTAGCATGTTGAACTGTGACATAGTAAAGTGAGATATTATGTTGATACTTGGTGTTGACAATATGTGTCTGACATATTATCAAAAAAGGGGTAACACAGGATACGACCAAGGGAGGTAAATGAATGTCCTGATAGCATACCTACTTTATACAGTACTAAAAATGATGTAGTTTGAGTAGAATTATGCAACGACAATTCTTTTGATGAATAAAAGCAAGTATTGAAAATATGAATCTAAAAAGTTACATCCCACGTTTAAATATACATCTACAGACATTTATGAATAATAAAGGTGTCCATGATTGACTTCGAAGACCAATACACGAAGAATATGAAGAATGCTGATTTAGAGAAGAAGAAAAATGTTATTAATTATCCTACTACTACTACTATTACTTCTATGTAGTTAAATTATTTTGCCGTCACTGACAAATAAAGTCAATAAGTGACCAAAAACTCCTTTTAAAGGGTCATAGAACTACAAATCTACGCTTAATAAACGTCTGTATGATAGATAACGTTAAGGAATGGCCATTCAGTTTATATACTTTACGAAATATACTACTAGTTGACATTATTCAGTAGAAAGATCAAGGTGATCCAGATATCAGATATGCTTTCTACTCGTTTGCAGATGAATTCGTCTAATCCTACAAATGAATTTTTCATGACATTTCCACTTTAACTAGTTACTCTAATAAGCTAGTAAAGTATTCAGAATGGAAGTGACCATGTACAATACCCAAACTCTGAAGTGAGAATGAAGTATATGAGTGAAAAATACTCAAACAGATAAAAAGCAATAAAATTGAGCTGTGTATAAGAGTGTCGATGAATAGCTGATAGATGATAAACCATACTGCTATTGATAGGAAGCTTCAAATTTTGAACAAAACATTTATTTTCTCATACATTTCAAATTACCGTCTATGCAATGTTTTTATGTGATAGTCTGTAGTTCATTTTCCCACCTTTTTCAAGGGCAAACAGCTGATTGGTTGATATTCACTTTAAATATGTAAACGTATTTAGTTTTGTACAAGGCCAAATCTCATGTATATAAACACATGTGGCTGGTCTGAGCGGTGCAGACTACCTGGCTGTGGTCCCTAAGAACATAGGAATCAGTGGTTAACGACTCTTGATGACATGGCTGAAAATTGGTCACAATGGCGCAAATGTATTTACTCTTTGAAGTCCTCTAAGGCTTGAATATTTCTGCTAACTTTTAACTTCAAATTACTCATCTATACAACTTCGCTTATTTTGATATCAGTCCTTTTCTATCCACTCATTTAGACTTTATTAGAGAAATTGACGCTGAACGGTCAATGTTTGGTGAGACTACTGCGGAGAAGGATGCGTCTGCGATTCGCTCGCAAGGTAGACGACTGGAACGATGACTGGGACACTTTGAGGAACAGTCCAGTTGTCCTCCAGCTACTATTGCGTTGCCCAATATCCAGTTGGATCCTGAAAGGAACATTAAGATAAGATCCCCAAAACTAGCAGTAGTTGAGAAAGTGGTAGGTCACTTGAAACGAGGAAAGGCAGCAAGACCAGATGGACTGGTTTCCGAAGTATATCAAGACGGTGGTAGTGTTTTTAGTCAACTTAACTAAAGTGGCAACTAGCGTATGGGAGTTAAATATGATCTCCTCTGAATGATCTCAATCACTGATTATTCCAGTCTTCAAGAAAGGCGAGAAGTCCTCTTGTGATAACCTTGAATGAATCAGCCTAACGAACATAGTGCATACGAATCTAAGTCCCATAATTCACTTACTTGGGAAGTAGGATCAGCCCTGGTAGGTCAGCGACCGATGAGATCTCTGCACGCATACAAAAGGCTCGGCTGGCTTTCGCCAGCTTACACCACTTGTGGCACCGCCGGTTGTGAACTTCCATCGACTGAGATGGTTGGGACGTGTTACATATGCCTAGTCGCCGTCTACCTCTCCACACAATGTTGGCCGAAGTAGGTGCCGGCTGGAAAGAAACTTAGGACGGCCAGACTAAAACATGTCACCAATGTATGAAGTGTTAGACTGTTAGATTAAGCCATGTAGAGCGATGCAAACTTGATGGTTGAGGTTCGTGGGACAAGAGAAACCAGTGGTTGGAGACTGTTGGTGATATGGCTCAGAACCAATGTCGATGGCGCAGATGCATACACACATTATCCACATCTTAACCGCCAAACTTAATGGTATCATTTTCTCATCCTTCCTTTCGTTTACTACTTTCTACTACTTTGTGAGTGATGCTTCTTTCTTTCTTCAGATATTTTATTGCCTTGCTACTAGATGTACTGATATGAAATTGAATGCCTGGTCCTAAGTTGATTTTGATGATGATTAAGACCCACTTTTTCTTTGTATACTACTGTCAGGTGTGGTAACTTGAACCAATCCACTTGTGTACGAGGTTCTAAGTTGATTTTGTCTTTCTGTCCGGGTTATTATCAGTCATCTCTGAGGCAGTAAAAGTTCTTGTACAGATCAGTCCTCCTTTACTCCTTGCATTTCGTCTAGGATGTTACAGTCAATGGTATATGACATACGAGCTAGCCGTTAGCCAGGAATATCTGTACTATTTAACTAACATGCAATATGGCCACGAAACTAGATAACCTGGAACTATAGTATTCTGGTGTTGAATGTTTGCAGATAATCAGCGGCAAACCGTATTACTCTCAAATCTTGAAGAAAGTTATTTTCCCTCTAGAGATTCGAAGTAATATTCCACGATACCCGCAATTTTTGTATCAATCAATTAACTTGAAACATCTCAGTCAAAAACAAAAAAAACTAGGAATTATAATGATATGAAAAAAGATTACAGTTACAGAATCAATATTTTACAAAACTTACTTTCCCGCTAAACGTGCTTGGACGCGTTCCAGATCCTTTTTAATTCGTTTTTTTCACGTTCAGCTTTAACTTCAGCAATCTAAGTTCATTCATTTCGAAGGAAAAACTCATTTATTAACCACCACTTGTTAAATAGATGTCATAGGCGGTAAATAAAATTTTAAACTAGTCACCGTTAGAGTGACTTTGTAGATTATCACCTTAACAAACACTGGTGAAATAATTAATTACATTTCTTCAATTTGATTGGATAGGTGGTGTTTAATGATGAAACAGGGAAAACATGATTGGCTATCTCAGCAGTTTTGAAAGTCATTTCGCGATAAATTTAGTTATAACAGTTAACTCTTGACAAGACTTAACTTCTATGCAAATAATTGAGTGAAGTTTTGTTTGCTAGTGTTATATGAATGGGTAGTAGGTTGCTACTGGGTGCGCCTATTTAGCCAATAACATCCTAGTCAAACCTCATCACAGTTCAGATTAAATGGACCCAGACAAGGAATGGAAGTTGGTCTGCCTCGAATAACTTTACTTAACAGTATATGAAAACTGGATTGCATTTCAGTCTGCTGCCGTTTGTTAACTCTTGCGATAAATAAAGTCGTTGACGTTCATCCGGTTTCCATTTTATTCTTAATCGTGGGTCGCTTAGACAGGACTAATCAGTGACTACTTAATTATACAGAATGATAAATAAATTTATGATAGGTTGTCTGCAATACCAATAATAATATATTATTAATGAATATAACCATAACAAATGATACCTTTTGACTACGAGCTTCAATTTCTTCAGAAGTCAACTTTTGACAGTGTGATTTTAGTTTACGAAAAACAGAAGTAGATATTTGGGATCTCAGATTATATTCTTCAATTCGTACTTTGTTATCATCATCTTCAGTCTCTCCAGTAAACTGACCTTTTATCTTCAGCTTAGCTTTAGACAATTCATATTCTGAAACGATAAAGTTGTAAGACAATGTGAGGTAGTTTACTAAGGAATACAAATCAGCAGTTGCATCCTCGTAGACGTAGTACCTATTACAATGAAAAAGAATCATATTATTTGGTTATCTAAACCTCAGTGGATATAATAGGGTCCTAACTTGTAACCCACCAAAATAAGCCGTTGATTACATTAGCCAATGATATGACAACGTCTGTAATAACCTTATATGCCAAAATCTCATCAGATTTGAGCGATTTTAGCAAATGAACTTCGCAACACAAAAACCAACAAAAATAAGTACCAATAAACCTTCAGTGTCTGAATCAGTGCGATGATCTACTCTAGTCCTAGTAGAAGACAAAATACATCAGAATGTAGGTACATCCTACCGTCGAGTTCTGAATAGGGTAAAAAAAAATGCCTAGTGAATTACAAAACAAACTGGTTGCCATTCTATTTATTATGTAATAAATATACGAATATTTCTGTAGCACAAAAAGTAAGACTTCTTGTACAACTATAAACTATTTGCAACAGCAAATCAGACTACACAGGCTGTTAATAAGATTGATTTTAAAGGTAATTCAGAAACAGTAAAAAAGAAGACTGAAAAATAAACTGGTAAGAATGTATTCTTCGTATAAATTCTCCCATGTTCGGGAAAACTTTGCCAGGTATCCTTTACATGTTCACTCCACATGCGTGTACAAGCTCACTTGTATCTGCCACAGTAAATACATTAGAACGATAGAAACATGTTGAACAAATTTCAAAAGGTCTATTACTAAGGTGATTCAACAGTTGCACCAGTGCGAATACTAGACACACATCCGAAACAATCCCAATTTTCCCGTTTCCTTGAGGCGACCACAATCCAAAGGTTGATACCAGGTGTATACGCTGACAAAGAAGTAGTCATTAGCCTAACTGGTGCATAAACTCTACTCATACTCAACTAGATCACCTCTAATTACCGTCATTATGAGTAGGAAATCCTTAATTCATATTCCGGTTTAATTTTCTTCCACTCATCTCACTTTGTTTCTGAATTAGTATTGCCAACTCATCTATTCACCTGATTTAGCTACGTAATCTCTAAATCCTGCATACACTCTTGCTGGCTATCAATTTTCATCTCCGCTTGACGCGAATATTCTAACCTAAGACATTTTAAAGCGCAAAACATTAAAATGCTTTCATCGAACCTTTACTTCTATTCGTGTAACTTCTAAACGTGCACTCCAACTGCAGAATGCATCCCCACGCATTGACTTCTTGTTAATTATTATTATTTGCCCCTTTGGTTCCTAGTGGAACATAAGGCTTCAGCAGCACGTCTGCATTGAACCCTCTTCTCTGCCGTCTTTCTAACTTGGCTCTACGACTGCCCACAAGCTTTCATTTCTTCTTCACACGATCTCCATGTCACCCTGGCCTCGAACGCCCAACTCGTCGGTTCCCTTTGGATTCCACTCGAGGACCTGGCTTGATGCGTGATGTCCCCAGTAGGCCTTCACAGCGCATGCCCAATCCCATCAATCTCCACTTTCTTCTGCATACTTTTTGGGCCGTGGGTTCTCAGTTGGTTTGTCGCCAGCAAGAATTCCTTGTCGCTCATTCTTTCTGGTAATCTGATCTTCAGCAAGGAGTGTAGGCAGCTGTTGATGTATGTGTGCAGTTTGTTAGAAGGGCTTTCGTGTCGCGCCAAGTTTCTGAACCATATAGCAGCAATGGCTTGACTGGTACTAAGGTTGAAAATCCACACCTTGTTCTTTGTGCTGAGTGCAATAGATCTCCACACTGGTTTCAAGTCAATGAACGCCTGTCTTGCTGGCTTTCCGATCATGGTTTTGACATCCTCATCTGTGCCGCCGCCTGTAGTTGAAACGATGCTGCCTAGATAGGTGAAAGAGACCACCTCCTTTAAGTTTCTCTCCTTAATGGTGATTGGTGCTTGTTGTTGTTGTTGGTTGGGTATCTTCATCACCTCTACCTCTGTCTTCTCTATATTTACTTGAAGTCCCGTTCTCGCTGCCCTGCCTCTTCTGCCAACTTGTTAGTTTTCGCCTGTAGATCTTCGAGTTTGTGCGATATTAGACAAAAATCATCATCGGTGAAATCCAAATCTCCTAGGGTCTTTTCATCAGTTCAGCGTATACCCGTCTTCTCGCTCCTCACAGCTTACCGCATGATCCAGTCGACCACAATCACGAAGATCATCGGTGATAGTAGGCAACCTTCTCTTACTCATGTCCCCTGTCTTCACTTCAAAGGCATCACTGAGCTTTCCATTTTGAATCACTTGGCTTGTGACATCTTCATATAGCTGTTGAATGAGGTTGATAAAGGTTTTTGGTATTCCGTAGTGTTGAAGCATCTGCCTGCCAAATTACTTCTCGGTCGACGCCGTCGAAGGCCTTTTCAAAGTCGATGAATTTGAGTTAGCGAGTTGACTGCCATTCTACACTTTGTTCTTTGATGATGCGTAGCGTTGCGTTGTAATTTGATCCGCACATGACTTGTTCTTCCTGAAGCCAGCCTGTTCCGGTCGCAATTTTGAATCCAGCTCATCCTTTAGTTTCTCCAGGATGATGCGGCTCAATATTTTGCTTGCGGTGGGTAAGAGTGTGATTCCGCGCCAGTTCTTGCAAACACTTAGGTCGCCCTCCTTCCAGTCGCCACGTACTTCTCCTTCCTTCCAGACCTTCTGCAGTAGTGGTGTGAGCATGTCTTCTGTTGTCTCTGAGTCTGTTTTCAATGCTTCTGGCGGAATTCCATCTGGTCCTGATGCTTTCCTGAGTTTCGGCAGTTTTATGGCATTCAGAACTTCAACTTTCATCGGAGGGCTTGTGTTCACTGGTAGTTCTGTGTCTGGGCTGCAGGTGGTATTTTCGGAAGAAGTGCAGGTGGTGGTCGATTCAAGAGATTTTGAAGTAGTCAGCCCATCGTTCCCTTTGTTTCTCTTCTTTGGTAACTGGCTTTCCTTCACCATCTTTCATTGGTTTCATCTGTGTTGATCTCTTCCTAGATAGTAACCTGGTTATTTGATACAATGTTGTCAGGTCTCTCCTACCAGCAGCAGCCTGTTCTGCTTCACTTGCCAGTGCATCATGGAAGTATCGAAGGCCTTTTCAAAGTCGATGAAGTTGAGGTAGAGAGTTGACTGTCATTCTATACTCTGTTTTATGTTGATGCGCAGCGTAGCGTTGTAATTTGGTCCGCACGTGACTTATTCTTCCTGTATCCAGCCTGTTTCGGTCGCAATTTTGAATCTAACGCATCCTCTAGTCTCGCCGGGATGATGGGGTAAGTTTTGCTTGGGGTGGACAGAAGTGGAGCATGATTCTGCGCCAGTTCTTGCAAACGCTTAGGTCTCACTTCTTTTGGAGTTTGACAAGGTAGCTCATCTTCCAGTCAACCAGCAGGTACCTTGCCTTCCTTCCAAACCTTCTGCAGTAGTGGTGTGAGCATGTCCGCTGATATCTGTGCGTCAAGAACATAAAAATAATGTAGACTTTCTGGACATACGATCAATGCGAAGAAATGATGGCTTACTGAGTTATTACTAGTGTCGACTGCTTAACTTCACTAAGGAATATATCTCATCTCAGCGAAAATCACGCAAAGTAAAGAATTTCAAATGAATGCACACAGATGTATTATCATAATTACTGATACCTAAGTTTTTGTTGTACTTCAGACAATGAGAAATATCGAGGAAAACATGAAACAGTCTAAATAGGAACAGAGACTGCTCAATTGAAACCTGAGAATGAATGAGGAGCGGCCTAAGTGTTAGAAGGTGTAGGTTCCAAGCAAAACTCAAAATTTACTACACAAGAATGATAACAGCATTTTATATACCTTGCTGTAATTTCGCAATGGCTTCCTGATCAGCTGTACTTGGTTCACAATGATATGGTTCACTTGTTAGTAATAACCAGCCATATGACGATTTTGTATTCTGGTCGTCTTGATAATTATTGAAATCACAGGGAGAAGGGGGTAACCAATGTCCGGTCTTCAGATCACTTCCACCAAGAATTAGAGTAAAGTTGGGTTTACCGTTATCTTGTTTAGCCTCGGTATCGTTATCATCCTGAGCACAGTCATCATCAGCTGATTTAAGTAATTTAGCCAATCCAAATTTAAGCATATTGTTCAACTTTGAAAGTAAAACACGTAAAATAACGGTGCCAATCAAGAAAAAAATCGAGAGGTTTTCATTATGGGATCAATATCGGTTAGAGAAACACTGAAATCTGCGTGAAATCGTCCCAGCTTGAACCCCTCCCCCTAGCAATGTGCGCTCACAACCCGTGAAGTATGAAATTTACAACCGAAATATGTAGCCATATCACTCTGATACGACTAAGGACAATAAATGAAATGTAATCTATGAAGTGTGACAATTTGTAGAGGTAAGTAAGAATCACAGGTCATAGGTCATTTGTCAGATAATCCCCTGTCCCAGTCAATGATAAATCAGAATAAATGAAGGAAAGATGACTTTCAAACAAGTCAATCAGCTGTTCACAGCTGATATCTCTATGGGACTATGAAAAGCACAGCTACATGCAAAAAATTTCGAATTGAAATTCACTCAACAAACTTGTACACATTTGTGCATTAGGCAATGAGTAGCCACACTTATTGTGTGAAGGCTAATGATGGTACATGTCCGTTCAAACTTAGGTAGGTTGAGTGGACGTCGAACGCGTGACTCATCGGTTGAAAGTAATTTTTTTTAACTAACGGAGTTACAGTTCCACAGTACAAGATTTACATGATCAAATTTACATTTCTGAGCATGACTTGAAGGTCTTAAAACAGCAAATCAAAATTAATCAATATTAGTGAAACCGAAAAGAAACATAAGTCAAAGAAATAAAAGTATGATAGCCTTACCTCATCGAAAGTGAACGGTTTGTTATCTTTATTAGACTTAGCATCAGTTGCACTCAAAACTTGAGCTGCCAGTTTCAATTTGTTTTCTGCCCGAGAGAGTATCACCTCTTCAACCGTATTTTTACCGACAAGTCTGATAACCCTAACTGGCCTAGCAAGAATAATTATTATTATTAAACATATGAATTCAAGAGAAACAGTATCAATCGTCAATAGAAATACTGATTACTACACATAATTAAAAAAAGAGAATCGAGTATCACAAAGAAGTGCAGTAAATTGTTATAAATCAGCGGTCTGTCACACAACTAAGGTGTGAATCATTAGTCAGTTAGACAGAGACGAAAACAACGTAGAACCTTGCACACAAGTCCATCGACTCAAGTTGCCATAATTCACATTAGTATACAAAGAGTCCTCAACCACTGATTCCTATAATCTTGACGACTTCAGTCAGACAGTCCACACCTTTTACACGCCTCGCATCAAGAATCAGAGACTTTATATAGACTGGTGTTATGTCTTGATTTCGCTACCATGAACCCTCTTCCAACTAAATCCAACTTCGGTTAGCGTGGCACATTGAGGTAGGCGATAGCTCGACATGAGTAGTACATATTCAAGCCACATCACTCCATGAAGGTTCGCAACCTAACACTCTTCGTCTATCACCTAGTGACCTTGAACATCATGTGGTCATAATCATTTGGAAAACCACTGAACTATATATATTTGTCCTATGCCTTAAACACTCTCTTTATGAATAAGTCCTATCTGCTTAGTCGTCTGCAATACGTTTAGTTGGCCGGATGTCTTTACACGTTTTTCACTATTCTTCACACTATCAATATCAGGCAATTAATCTATTGGCATAAAGAGTGTATTCACCATCGACTAGAATTATTTACATAACAAAAAATACGATGGAGTATTCAATAGCTGTTTTGTTCTTCGTCAGTTAGCAACTACTACAACTTCATTAGTTCAAGTAGGGGTTAAAATAGCGTATTGCACCAGAGCACAACTCCAAATTAAATAAGTTTGAGTGAGCATAGTGTTAGAGATGCCTATATCTATTATATTCCATACTTACAGTTTGGATATATTTGAAAAGTTTTACTTAGCGCTCTTTTTCCCGCGCTTCGGTCATGTTTCGTACGACCCATTATTGTTCTGATCGGCTCCTGCCTCTTTAAATCTATTCTTTGTCTTTCAAAGTTACTGTAAACTCTGTAAATAGGACCCGTTTTCACTGATAAACGTTTTCAGTCCGAGATACTATAAACCAATCCGATTTCCAGTCTATTGATTTCTGTTTGCAAATCACATGCGTTGAATTGTCTCAACCTTCGATAATTAATCCTTAAGTATGTTCGTTCGTTCTCATAACTCCACACTATAACACAAGGAATATTATTTTCGGAAGGTACAAAGTCATTAGCATCTTACTCCAGATAACTGAATTCCATACTGTAGATACCGCCTCATCCCATCCCTATAATCCCTTAACCTATTTTCTCCCTTAACATGAGTAACATTCTATCAAGCTGTTATTCCTCAAACTATCCTTCTAGTCTATTTCATCCAACTTTCATAAACACCTTCCTATTGTTTTAGTAAACTACTACCTTATAACATTACCTACGCAGTATAATCATCTAGATAATCAATCATTTTCGAGTGAATCGCAGTAATACTTGATTCTATGATTACTGTTCATACAAGACTCTTCTGAATCGATCTTCTCAACTGTAGCATATTATTTACAAGCTGATAAGCAAAATTCCAATAGCGTTTATGCATAATTCCTCCTGTACGACCTGAAAAAGAAGGAGTTGTCGAAAAGAATATTCTTTGTTCATTTAAATAGCTATTGAATTGTAATGGGAATTTTTAATGATTTAAATGACTTTATTTGATAAGGTACACTGTGAATTAGTGTATTACGTTCCCGAAAAAATCTGTTTCTCATACAACTTTGTTTTTTTGACAAATGTAGCTCTACTACTTTCACCTCTGGTGGTATAATTTTCTTAATGTCCAGGATTAGCGTTGAATCATTCTTATTACATTGTGTTCAGTGTCGATACTATGAACAGAGATTCAGTGGTCAACCTCTCCTTCCACCTAGCTGTACCAATCTTACTCAACTGTATAATTATAAATCAGCTTGTATAGAATATGGTATTCATATCACTTTGTATAGTTGAACCACCGAAAAACTCATTTATATAGTAATAATAGAAAGCTTGTAAACTATTCTTCAATGTTATAACTATTTGTTGATATACTTATAATTCTCCGTTGTTATACTGAATCGAATTGTTCGACCTCTGTTAGTATATGAACTTTTATGCGGATGCCTCGATATTGCCTGAATATTTATGATGGTAATTTACTTGGTTGTAACTAGTAATATCGAGACATCCGCGTAGGAGCCAATATACCAACAGACGTCGAACAATTCGATCCAATGAAACAACGGAGAATTACAAGCATATCAACAAATAGTTATAACTAATGCCCGTTGTACAAAAGTTGGTTATCGTGCCTCCATGGTCTAGGGGATAACGCTCTGGCCTTGGAAGAGATGGGTACGAGGTTCGAGCTCCAGTGGGGACAACATCACTCATTGGGGGGAAGGTACATCCAACTGACGAGTTCGAGATAGGACGGGGCGTACATCCTGGGTTCCTCTGCTCGCCACAACCAAGTAAATTGCCATAATAAATATTCTTTAATGACTTGTATGTTCGAAGACAAACATACGAATACTAATTAACTTTAGCTTCTGACTTTTAGAAAGTAAACAAAACAATTTTTTCTCAACGAAGTCACCAATCGATTCAAAAGAAATGTTTCTGAGTTACAAATCGAGTGATTTACTCTGAAAAGTGAAAACTATATATCAGTTTCAGTTTAATAAGGAGGGAATGAGAAACGAGGAGTCGATAGCGGATGCCATGTATTTTATGATAAATGATGACCGCTGCTGGCTGATTGCTCTATGGCGAACCTTGAGAATAGTATGCTTCACTCATCAATAGATAGTTTCTACTTATATAAAAGATAAATGGATGATAAATTCATCAGATGTGATCAAAATACAGATATTGGGACAGTAGTTGAAAAGTTGAATGATTGTCACCCATCGATCAACATCACATCATAATTTGAAGAGAACTCAGAACTACATTTTCTCGATGTCTTATTGAAAAGGAGAACAGAAAGCACTCTCCAAAGATCGATTTATAGGAAGCTTACATGGAATGAACAATAGTTGAATTTCCATAGCTGCGTGTCTCATAGCAGAAAAAGGGATCTGATGCATTCTTTATCTTAAAGAGTCAGAAGAATCTGCATGAGTGATACTATCGACGATGAATTAGAAAAACTACGGAAGATTCTCATGCAAACTAGATACTCACCCACATTTATTGAGAACGTGAAATTAAAACAAAATACGGAGCAAGTACTCACAGTTCCAAAGAAGACCTTGTTTATGAATGTTGGTTACAAAAGCGATACGGCAGCAGAGATCCTGAAGAATCGGCTATCCAGGTCGCTGGAGAAGACATTCTTCTCTGCGAAGCTACAGATCAGCTTTTCTAGTCAGTGATTGGTTCCGGAGTGCGTTAAGGACAAGTTACCGCTTTGGGCCATCTCAATATGTGTCTACAAATTTACTTGCTTTTGTGGAGCTAGTTATATAGGCTGCACAAAGCTTGCACTTTAAAAAGGGATCTCTGAGCACTATCTTACATGGCCGTCGAGAGGAGAATGTAAATCGATTAACAGTTCAATTCTTAAACATTTGGTCAACTCTGGACACATAGCTCGACCAGAGTCCTTCTTCAGTGTCCTTCATGGAATCAAACGGAATATTTCAAAAGGAGTACGTCTTCGACAGTTGTGCACAGCAGAAGCACTAGCAATTCACTAATTCAAACCTGATCTCTGCATGCAAAGAAGTATATTCAATCTCTTACCTTACCATGGTCATAACGCTTTTACATTTTTCGATTTCATTATAATTAGTTAGTCTAATATTATCACCTCCATTATGATCATTGTCTCATTTTTCACCTTCACATCTATTAATCAAAAAGTCACTCAATATTCGCATTTCTCATCTACTAACAATTTCCACCTCGTCGAACTGCTTGCCTTCCTCGTTATTTCCACTGTCTAAAAGATTATTACGCAAACGCTTCGTGTTCTTGATTCTGACTTTTTTAGCACTAGGTGGCTTAATGATGCAATTATATACTGTTGTTTAATAGTAGACGGTTATGTTTTTGATATATATAAATACGATTGTACAGCTTTGGGAAATGATATCGACGAGAACGGTAAACTTTCTCCGCCAAATTATCTCTTCTTTTTTCTGTGACTCGGTGGGCTTGTTTCGTCGTCTAAATGACAATACGGCTCAGAATCGATGGCAGTGGAGAAGATTTATCCATGCATTGTTTAATATTGAATTCAACGTTTCCTCATTTCTCTTTCTTCTCTTTTACTGGTTCCTACTGCTTTTAACCAATTCTTCTTGATTTCTTAATTTTTCATCATACTGTCTTGTCCTTTGACGTGCTGATATGAGATGTAGGAACTTGGACTGTTAAGCGGTAATGCCTGGTCTTATGTTGGTTTCATTGATGATAAATAATAGCGGATATGGTGGGAAAAACACCTAATGTTTACGCTGCTAATTTAAAACAAACTAGTGGATATCGCTTTGGCGTTTGAAGCGATGGGCACTGGGTTCAAGTATTAGGGGGAATAACATCACTCACTGGGGTTCAGGTACATCCAGCTGACAAGTCTCAGATAGGACGAAAAGTCCATTCTGGATTCCACTCCTAGTCACCAAAATGAATACAATATCATGAATATCCAACAGTATCTGGAAATTATAAGCATCGAACAACATAAACTAATGGTATCATTTGATTGAGCACACTATTAAGTACAGTACATAGTAGTAATAGGAAGCAAAGGCAGATACAAACTAGACAAAAATAAGTCTAAAGAGGTTACCGCCAACTAATAGAAAGATCCGGCCTTATTTACCTTTCATCTTCCATCACATTCATCAGTAAACCATCTGTTCAACCAACTCGAAGGAACTAATCCACCCTCAGAGATAAGTACAAGTGTCAGTCAACGCTGCATTGAAAAAAAGTTGCAGCTACACGTTGCAGATGTGTACCAACAGACATCAAACATAGCTGTCGCAGGAATCGTTTCCGTTTGCTTCAAACTACCTGATATTAATCGGCTTAGTGCATAGTGGTGGTGGGTCTTGCAGTTTGGTGGCTAAAATGCAAACGACCAATAAAATTCTGTCAACTACACACAACATAGACCAATCAAAACAAAATAAAATTCATTACCCTAAGTGCATATTTCATTGGTCAATAGTCAAGACATCTTGACAGTATAACTGAAATATATCAATAGTTAGTACAATTAGATCAAGTCAATTTAAACTATCAATTCATAGCTCAATACAAGTGAAAAACAACTTACTTGGTTTGTCCAATTCGATGAGCACGTCCTGCAGCTTGTACATCCATTTGTGGATTGAAATCATTATCAACAAATATAACAGTATCCGCAGCTGTAAGATTTAAGCCTTGACCTCCTAAATGTTTGACAAAAAGAAATAAAATATATAAGAATCCATAGTACATCATTTATTTATTACAATCAACTAAATGAATCCTATGACCGGTATTACAACCTAACACTATGAGTGACACGAGTTTAGGAGACTACGAACGATACGAATGTAACGCGCAACGACGAATCAACTCTAGCGTAAATCAAAACGTCAATCACCACCACAACAATACCACCGATGCGCGAAGATAAGAAGAGGAAACAGACCGTTGACAAAGAGCCTTTTCGCCGTTTCAACAACAGTCAATACAGTTCAGTGATGTTGAATAAATACACTTCTCAATGACCTGGACGACACTAAATCCACATGTCGGTGAAAATAGTTAACAACCAATGAGAGTTCAGCTTTGAGAGCTGAGGGTAATTTTAAAGTCATGGGCAAAACAGTAGGTAAAGTCATGAAAAATTAGGGGTGTGTAGTAATGAATTAAGTCAGAAATTGACATATATGTCAGTTGAGTCGAGATTGCAGACACGCCTTGCTAACAAGTGCCAAAAAGCACGGAACCTAGGGTCCCATGGCTTTTTGCTGATCGCTTCCATACAACTAACACAATTCCAAAAATATCTCAATGGGATTGACAGAAAGCTCTATTTCTAGGTGCTTGCCTCGCTCAAGTTCAAAGTTAGAGCATACCTACAGCTTGGAAACCTTTGATGATGAAAAAGAATATTATTTTGTAGTCTAGTAGTCGTAAATATCATAACATGGAATAATTCTAGAGATGATTGTTGGATTTTGAGTATAAAGAATACCAACCAATGCTATTTTATTAAATACGTTCTGTACAGTGTTCATAATTGACAGCTACAACGGCAATTTAGCAACAAATTGAGAATTCTTGCACAACAAGCTACATTTACTGAGTGAAGGCGGCTGATTGATTCAAAATATTCGCATACACAAATTTCAGTAATTAAGATAGTCTTCAAACGGGAATTCAAATATCAAGGTGAATGAACCACAACAAAATGATTATATGCACAAAAAGTAGAACAGAATGAAATAGATTTACTTAAACTGCACAAATCTGTAAAATATGCGCTAACAACTGGATAATATGCTATAGTAAAATCAGTAAATAACTGATAGAAAGCATTTCTGAAGAAAGAAAATTATGTGTTATATAGTACACATATGACAAAAAGTAAACTGCGCGAAAGGATAAGCATTACGCGTGATGAATATGAGCTGTTGGGAACATCACGAATGCAAAACTTTATTTTGCTACAAAAATATGAATTTCCATTGTTCTGTATTCTTACTACAATGTCAAATGTGCTTTAACAACGAAGTATTCTGTATTAACCGATCCACATGCTTCTATGGAGCTAGGTATGTAAGTCGTCCCCAGAAGCTTGTAATCCCAGTGTATTCGCAGACACCTTCCAGCTTGGGTCAGCGAAAGGTAATGCAGTTCAATAACACAAGCTACATTGATTAGTTACTAGAAAGTTACTAGTATATATTTTTCTCCAGTTTAAAGTGCTGACCAAATTCTGGTCACCAAACTGCAAGACCCACTATCAGGTGAAGCTGCAACTATTTCTGAATGCAGCGTTGACTAACACAAGTTCTTATCTGTGAGGGTGTATTAGTTCCCTCAAATTGGTTCGACAGATGGCTTACTGATGAATGTGGAGGAAGATGAAAGGTGGGTGAAGTGGGGCTTTCTGTTCATCAGCTGTCTAGTTTATACCTTCTTCTGGTCTCTACTACTATGTGCTGCATTTAATATTGTATCCAGTAAAGTAACACCAGTATCTTACTTAAAATTCAACCTGGAGGTTCGGAAGACTGAAGATAGGCGTTGTTAACGACCACTAACAAGCACGATATTTAAGTCCAGAACTTTTGTCTATGGCTTCCAATTGTCTATGCTCCATATTACAACATATGTTAGATTCTGGTCATCCAGCCTCAAATTCTCTATCGATATTGCCTACAATTACAATAGTTTCAGATCAGAAAAAACTGTAGCAAACTATGAATCTATGGGTTCAAACAATCGGAAGTGAAGCCGGTGCCAACTGAAAATCTTAATTGACAGTCAAGCTGTAACACAAATTGACAGAAGTAGGAAACTGTGAACGACTGAAATCCTACCAAGTGGTTGAATGGTCAACGTGTTCGCCGTGAAACCTCAAGGTCATGAGTTTGATCTGGAGCGAGGTCGTCGGCGCGCATAAGAACTGAAATAAACTCACTCAGCAATCTTGTGCACATTTATGCATTAGGCAGTGAGCCACACTTAATGTGTGAGGGCTAATGATACTACCACCCGGCCACCGAAACCTCGGTAGGTAGGGCGGGGTTCGAACCCGCTACCCATTGATTGAAAGTCAACCCTCTAAACCAATTAGCCACAGCCCCTGTGGGTGCGTACTGCTGAGGAGTCCCATACTAGGACGAAACAGCTGTCCAATGCTCCAAGATTTTCGACGGTTCCCCAATTGACGTCAGTCCGTGACGAATACTACCCCAAAAACAATGTTATATGCAGATTACAAACATAGAGGTCACAGTTGTCCCGAATAAAAATCCGAATAGTCTGCTGAAGAAGCTGTGGCATTCACAGCAAAACGTTCAGAAAAATCTTGGATTTGATTTTTCTTTAAACATGCTGGGATTATTCTGAAACTTATATAATTTTAAATACAGTTACCAACTACTTATATAAAGGACTTTTCATTTCATTATCAACATAGGACCAGGCATTACTGTGTAACGGTCCGAGTTGCCACACCTCACGTCAGTTCATCGAGTAAAAAGGTAGTGAGGTGAAGGATGAAGATAAGTGGATGCAGTCAAAAGAAATATAAAGTACGAGAAGAAAGGAAAGAGGAGTGACAAAATGGTGAGATTCGGTATAGCGTTGTTAAGATGAGGATAATGTGTGTATACATCTGCGCCACTGACTTCGGTTCTGAGCCATATCACCTAGGGTCTCCAACCACTGGTTCCTCTTGTCTCGCAGACCCCAACCACCTAGTCTGCATCGTCCTACATGGCTTAAACCAACAGTCAGAGACTTCATACATTGGTGCCATGTTTTAGTCTGGCCACCTCGGGCCTTTTTCCAGCCTGGACCCACCTCAGCCAACATTGTGTGACGAGGCAATCGGTGACTAGGCATACGTAGTACGTGTCCCAACCATCTCAGTCGATGAAGGTTCACAACCTCGTCAACTGACTTACCTCTTCTCCCTAAAACTCTACACCTAACTTCTGCATTACTCACATGGTGACACCACGGAATACGTCCTATACTACGAAGGCAACGGTGGTCAAACACCTGAAGCCTTTTTATATCTTCCACTTTCAATGGCCATACAGTAGAACAGAGCGGACTGCTGTGCAGTACACGCGACCCTTAATAGACAAACGAATATCACGGCGGCGCCATAGGTGGCGCAAATTGGCAAAAGCCAATCGAGCCTTTTGTATCCGTGCAGAAATCTCATCGGCAACTAACCCACAGGGTTGATCCTACTTCCCAGGTAAGTGAAGTGGTCAACACACTCAACCACTTCACTCTCTATTGTTAACCGCGGTACCGCTGAAGACCAGTCCTGGAGCAAAAATTTGCATTTGGGTGGTGAAAATCGCATCCCAAACATTCTCAAATTCCCACTCAAAGTGTTCAGAAGACTCTGCATCTTGTCAGCGTCTTCACCTAACAGGACTATGTCATCTGCATATTCTAGATCTAAGGAAAATTCACCTGTGATCCGGTCAACGTCTTTGTAATTAGGTGACGAGAGGGAAACCTCCATAAGAATATCTATGATAAAATTAAATAAGAATGGGGATAGTGGGCATCCTTGACGGACACCACTTGATGAGTATAGCTCCCTGGACAACTCACCATAGGCTCTAACATGCCCACAAGTGTTCGAGTAGAGAGCTTTCAATAAGGTGATGTACTTACTAGGCACGCCTTTCAGTGACAGACACTGCCATAAGACTTCTCGATCAACGGAGTCAAATGCCGCCTTCAGGTCGAGAAATACAGCTATTGTCGGGCGTCTGTAAGCATGCCTATGTTCCAGGACCTGGCGCAGTGTGAATATTTGGTCGATACATCCACGGCCAGGTCTAAAGCCTGCCTGGTTTTCTCGGGCTTGCTGTTCCCGAGCTCCACTCAGGCGTCGGAGAATTATAGAACTTAGGATCTTAGACACTATGTTTGTCAGGCTGATTCCTCTGTGGTTATCACAAGAGGACTTCTCGCCTTTCTTGAAGACTGGGATGATGAGTGACTTAGACCAGTCGGAGGGGATCGTATTTGATTCCCATATACTGGCTAACACTTCCGTTAGCCTGACTAAGAGAACTCTACCACCATTCTTGTATACCTCAGCAGGTAGTCCGTCTGGTCCTGCTGCCCTTCCCCGTTTCAGGCTACCTACCGCTTTCTCAACTTCTTCTAGTGTTGGGGGACCTGTCTCTATGTCCCATTCAGGGTCCGACTGGATAGCGGGCAGCGCAATGGTGGCTGGAGGCCAGTTAAACTGTTCCTCGAAGTGTTCTGCCCATCGTCCCAGTCGCCTTCCCTGCGAGTGAATCGCAGATCCGTCCTTCTCCGCTATAACCTCACTAACTGTTGTTGACCATTTCCCCCCAGTCTCCTTAATAAGTCTAAATAACTGTCTACTGTTACCGATCGCCGCTGCCTTTTCCATCTCTTTAGCCTTTGCTGCCCACCACTGTTCACGATCGTTGCGCAGACTTTTCGTCAGTTATTTTTAAGTTGCGCTCGCTCTTCATTGTACTCAGAGCCTGCAGGGATGCATTCACGTGCATCCATTAGTTTGGAAGAAGCTGCTGATATCCACTGGCTCTTTTTAGCCATTATCTTGGAGTCGGCTACAGTCTCCAGTGCTGCTTTTACAGTAGACTGAAGATGGCACCAAGCTTCTTCTGGATGAGTGACAGTCTTTTGTTCCGATAACTGCCTAGCCAACTTTGGTGTTTTCGTTGTCCAGCAGAACTCGCCAAATTTTTTCTACGTCCATTGAGACGCAGGCATATACGTGCTCGGACCAACGCATGATCGCTGTCCAAACACGTACTCCAGAAGGAGCGGCAGTCTTCCACCGATCCTCTCCAGCGATGACTAATAGCAATGTGGTCTATCTGTGTCCATCGCTGAGTCGAGCTCGGTGGACGCCAGGTCAGACAGTGCCTTTCTTTATGTCTGAAATTGGTGCTGGCTAAAAATAGGCGGTTATCTGAGCATAGTTGTAATAGGCGATCACCGTTATCTGTACGTTCAGCTGGGATTCCGAAAGTGCCACCTAAGTGCCTTTCTGCCTCACTCAGTCTACCCACCTGTGCGTTGAGGTCACCTGCAACAACCACTACGTCCGAACGTTTGGCTTTCGAGAGGAGGTTAGACAGTTTATGGTAGAACTCGTCCTTCACTTCATCCGAACTACAGTCAGTGGGTGCGTAAGCAGAGATTACAAAGAGACAACGGCGAGTCTCACTATTCCTTTTAGTTCTCACTGTGCCGTTCAGCCTCATAGCGCAGAGGCGACTATCAACTGGGATCCAGTCTAGTAGTGAGTTTTCTGCCCTGGTGCTTAATGCTATACCTACACCTGCAAGACCACGAGAGCTAGCTATCGAATCTCCAGAAACTCGAAGGGTGAATTTTGCGGATTCACCAGATTGGTCAGGAGAGGTCAGGTGAATAACCACACTTGGGTCCTGTATGCGTGTCTCACAAACACAGCACACATCCATGCCCGAGTTGCTAGAGTCTTTGCCAACGAAGCCTGTTGGCCAATTTGACGGAGGGTGCGGACATTGAAGGCTCCAATATGTAATTTGGAGCGTGGTTTAAGGAGACCAGGGACGCTGTTCTGTGGACTCAGATCGTTGTCGAAGGCTGCAGAGGTAGGAGAAATTGAAGATGATGCAGCATCATTAATTAAGAGACGTGAAGGAAGATTAGAAGGTAATGATGGAGGAGGAGGATAGCAGTCAGAAGAAACTTGGGTGCTGACAGAGTTGTGAGGGCGGTTGACACTTCCCGGCTGCCCACACCGTGGAAGGCTATTTCTTCTTAAGGTACCTGAAAGAGATTTGTGTGACCGCAGAGCCCATCGGACATCTGCTTGAGGCCTGTCACACCCAGCCTTTTGAGTATGATTATTTTGAACTTTTGTATTTTTGGGGCCGGATGAGCGAAAGGAAACGACAAGTGAACCAACACCGCCGGCCCGGCAGACCGTGGGGCGTGGTGGAGTGTGTTATTTTTGGGGCCGACCTTTTCTAACCCCCCTTCCACTGAGAAGGCAGCATCAGCATGGCACTGCTGGTCATCCAAGGGAAACACCTTACTGCTGTCACACCCCATCCAGCTAGCAGCAGTACGACTTCGCCCTCAGACCCCCATCATAGTGTAGCAATTTACACCATAACGGTAACTGCTTTTCGTCTAACCACTATCCAACAGACCTTTCTGGTATGGTAGGACCTCGAGAGAACAAGCGTTCCACCAGCATAGCTCATTGGGTCACTGTGATATGCAAGCCCGACCACCACGTCAAAGTAGCAGCTATCGGTCGGGTATATAAAGGACTAAATAGTACTAAAACGCCTTGCGCATTTTTATTCTACTGACAAAACCATGCAATCGATTCTATAACCATGATGGTAAACTTTATACTTGTATACAAGTGTACATTTTATGAAAATATATTGGTGAAAAGAACACCATTAACTGAACTATTTAGCTTGTGGGTAAATTTAATCGAATTATTTACAATACCACTCATACATCGTATATATATATATATATATATATATATATATATATATATATATATATATATATATAATACAATAAGGAAAGATGTAAACCGACCTGCACGAGTACTGAGTAGAAATATAAATGTCTCTTGATCTCGGTTAAAGTTTTCCGTAGCTTGAAAACGATCTTCACCACGTATTGAACCATCTAAACGTTCATAACTGTAACCTATAAATATTAAAGTAATATCAAAGTAATTAGGTCTCATTATGTATAGATTATATACAGTTCTCCAAAAGCCTACACCAATTTCTCTATTTATGAATTACCGGGTTAACGCTGCAGCCTGGATTCGTCACCACAAGGCCACCATACATGCAGTTCAGCGCGAAGCCGGGTGCATGTGGGGATGAATGACAATCCAAAATACATTGCTTAAACAGTGTAAAATGGTAAAGACATAAACAGGGCGAAGTGCACGCATATATCACATTACTCTTTTCAAACCTCGCACACGATCGTAAGATCACGTACTATCCCATTACCCTTGACGATCTAGAAACATAAAGTCACGTGAACATTATCAGAATTTAAGGTAATTGTAGAAAGCGCATTAGCACAAATATACACTAACACTAAAATAGCAGAAGGAAGTCAAACAATTCACCAAAACAAAATGAAGCTGTGAAGAACCTTTGAAATGTGATAACAGTAAAGTAATTACTGAATCAGAGACAAATGAAATTCAATAATGGTGTCTGACAAATCTAACTACATTCCCAAAGTCAACGACCATATGCAGACAGGAATGAATGAGGAAATTAAGAAACTAGTGCACATTATTTATAAATAACGCTATGCAATTAACAGTAGGTTTAATACCCGAATAAAGCTATTTTCAGGTGAGTCTAAAGTTGTTCTACTTTATGCCGTAAATTAATGATCCACATAAGTTTATCCCATTACTAAAGATCAATAAGCTAGGAGTTGGGGATGTTACATCCCCAAAAATGAACGTTCTATACTTAAATTTTATAAATTTATCTGACAGGAAGTATGAATTATAATCCTTGCACCTTGTTCCGCCCCACATATATCACTTAATTTGATGGCTTATTTTCGAGTGGTAAATTCTTCAACTATTGTATGCTTAGACACTGGTCATTACATTTATACAAGTAGTCCTGTGTTTCACATGCGTTATAATATTTTCATACACGTAAGTCACCTTCTGATCAAACTGATCACTAATGATTACAGCGAACTTGGAAAGTGGATAAATTGCCACGCGTGGTCAAAATTTTGTTTCTGGTAAATGAATTTAAATGTATACTATTTCACATCTCTTATCTAGCCTGGTTACAGTCACACTTATGCTTATCTGGACGATCCTTCGATTGTTTGGAAGAACCAAAGTTGCACTAGATATTACAGTAATGGTTATAAGTGTGAGATATTTCCATTATGTCTGACTGACACACATTATTTGAATAAATCATCCTTTATGCTTATTTGGTGACAGGCTAACTCAAAGGCATCAAAACTGCTCTTTTCCAAATGTTTACTTGAGGATGGGTGAATAGTTGGGCGTACTGAGTATCTTTCAAACTACACCTATCCGTTGTAGTTTCAGCACAACACTATTTGACTTGGAAACATTCACTTATTGCGGTATAAGGTGTTGAGTATCAGAAGCATCCAAAGCGAGACCATTTCTGACGACTGAGTGTACAGCATTTAAAGACGATCTCGGGTGCACAACTGTTGCTCTGGCTGTCACCTAGCATTCTGTCTATTCACAGATATTTCGTAGTGTTCCATCAATTGGTTTTATTTGTTTGTTCCTTTTTAGGTTGAAATTCATCATGAACTGGCATCAGTTGGAAGAACATTGGAAACCTGGGAGCACCAGATATAATTAATCTAGGGCCCACTGGTGACTAGCTTCCGGAGGTGATTCCCAAAGTCCCAATGAGAAGTCGTGACCATGAGGGCAAATGCTCAACGACGACATAGGGTGGCGGTCGCGCTATGTTGTGAACTGAGAGAAGTTGGAAATGTGGACGACTGGATTCCGACCGAGTGGTTTAATGGTAACGTGCTGACCACAGAACCCGAAGGTCGTGGGCTCAATCCCTGGCGGGGTCGTGGGTGCGCACTGCTGAGGAGTCTTATACTAGGACGAAGCAGCTGTCCAGCACTCCAAGGTTTCCAATGTTCCTTCAACTGATGTCAGTCTACGATGACGTCCAACCTAAAAAAAGGTTAGTTTAGATATAACTTGGTGTACTTGAACGTTATGGTGTGATGCTGCGTTCAGGAGTCCACATGTAAATTAGCCATTCACGCTATGTTAACTAACTTACCCATCGGCATGGCTCTGGAAGCAGTTAAAAATGAAAGCAGTGATGGCCATGAGCTTACACTTAGAACCGAGGTAACAGTCAAGATCACGCTAGTAGTACTGTTATTTCTGAAGTCGACAGCCTTTAGGTTTCAATATAAAATGTATAGACAAAGAGAAGTTGCCATGGAATCGCCAAGATCCTCTATTGTTTCAGGTAACCATGGGTACTTGGAAAAATTTGAATAAGTTGAGCATTGAGCGAATGGATTGTAAATGAAACATATTTTTAAAATTCCAATGAGATAGAAAAATAAACTTCTGACTTTGTGGAAATCCCTTCTTTAGAGGATAAAAGCTGTACAAGTTGTCGAATGTTTAAATAGTAAAATATTCGATATTATGTCTTCTATGGCTTTGTATTTCATCTGAGCCTATTTTTGCTCTTACAGGTCTTTCACCCTCCTGAACACTCAGATCTATACTTACGACATCACCAGGGATCGGACTCAGTACCTTCAGCTTTCACGGAGGAAACGTTGACAATTCAGTCATTGAGTCGGAGTTCAATGGTCCACAGTTTTCTATTCCTGTGAATTCGCGAAACAGTGCAACTGTCCAGTAACCAGAAGGTTTTAAGTTTGATCCCTGATGAGGTGGTGAGTACTGCTGAGGAGTCCTGCACTAGAACAAAATATTTCTCAACCGCTCCCAGGTTTCCAATGCTTCTCGAACTGATGTCAGTCCGTGATGAAAGAATAGAACTAGAATACTACAAACCATTCAGAGTGTGTGTTATTATCACATCTTTTAGAAGACTAATATTACAAATAGGATTTAAACAATAAGAATTTGTGATATTTGTGAAGCATTCACGCTGATGCCTATGGTTCATAGACTAAAATGAAAGAAGTCATCTTAATTAAGGTGAAAAAGAGACATCACTTAGATCTGATCAGTTCAATTGATGGTATCTAACTAGAAGTATTAGCACATTATCGCTTGGAATAGTAATTTACTACACTAGTTATATTACTGTCGCCTGTTTTTCATGCATTTCCTACACAATAAGTGTGTTCCTTAAGCATAGATCTGAGTGTTCAGGAAGGAGAAAGATCTGTCAGAGTGAAAATAGGCTCAGATGAAACACAAAACCAGAGAAGATACAATATAAAAGAGTGAAGTATTTTAATCATTTATTTGTGATTAGTAGTACTGCTAACAGAAGAAGGATCACTCACCTCTTAAAGTAAGATAATCCTGTATAATATCCAGCATACGTGTCATTTGACAGAATATTAAAACTTTATGAACGGGTTTTAAGCGAAAATTAGATGAATTATTTAACATTTTTGTACTGGAATTATGCGGATCATACAGAAAGGCTAGTAAAAGATCTAAAAGAACAAGTTTTGAACTAGCCTCAACTAAATGTTCTCCTAGATTAAAAGGTTCTGGTTCAACGCCTAAGGAATAAAAACACAATGAGAAAATTAAATTCTTAAGTATAAATTCATAGAATATGATTATATTTGTAATAAAGATATTTTAAATATTCCCATTGTGATAGTTAGAAGACAGTTCGAGGCGAATGTATATTTTCGGTATATTCTGATCAGTATGTCCTGATTTAATATCAACATGTTTAAATTAATTCGGGTATATGAATTAGAAGATAAGGACAGCAAAAGGTGATAATAACAAAACAAAATCTCGGAAAGTTTATATACTCCTTGTAGGTGAGTGAATTGTGTGTGTAAACGGATAGTGGGGAATAAAATTATTGTCGCATAGCGATTAGAGATAATAAAATGTTAAAATTCTTAATCAATTCATCATCATCATCATTATCAACATAGGACCAGGCATTACTGTGTAACGGTCCGAGTTGCCACACCTCATATCAGCACATCAAGTAAAAAGGTAGTGAGGTGAAAGATGAAGATAAGTGAATGCAGTCAAAAGAAATATAAAGCATGAGAAGAAAGGAAAGAGGAGTGACAAAATAGTGAGATTCGGTATAGCGTTGTTAAGATGAGGATAATGTGTGTATACATCTGCGCCACTGACATCGGTTCTGAGCCATATCACCTAGGGTCTCCAACCACTGGTTCCTCTTGTCCCGTGGACCCCAACCACCTAGTCTGCATCGTCCTACATGGCTTAAACAAACAGTCAGAGGCTTCATACATTGGTGCCATGTTTTAGTCTGGCCACCTCGGGCCTTTTACCAGCCTGGACCCACCTCAGCCAACATTGTGTGACAAGGCAATCGGTGACTAGGCATACGTAGTACGTGTCCCAACCATCTCAGTCGATGAAGGTTCACAACCTCGTCGACTGACTTACCTCTTCTCCCTAAAACTCTACACCTAACTTCTGCATTACTCACATGGTGACACCACGGAATACGTCCTATACTATGAAGGCAACGGTGGTCAAATACCTGTAACCTTCTCATGTCTTCCACTTTCAATGGCCATGTTTCACAGCCATACAGTAGAACAGAGCGGACTGCTGTGCAGTACACGCGACCCTTAATAGACAAACGGATATCACGGCGGCGCCATAGGTGGCGCAAATTGGCAAAAGCCAATCGAGCCTTTTGTATCCGTGCAGAAATCTCACCGGCAACTCATCATCATCATCACTATCAACATAGGACCAGGCATTACTGCGTAACGGTCCGAGTTGCCACACCTCATATCAGCACATCAACCGGCAACTAACCCACCGGGGTTGATCCTACTTCCCAGGTAAGTGAAGTGGTCAACACACTCAACCACTTCACTTTCTATTGTTAACCGCGGTACCGCTGAAGACCAGTCTTGGAGCAAAAATTTGCATTTGGGTGGTGAAAATCGCATCCCAAACATTCTCAAATTCCCACTCAAAGTGTTCAGAAGACTCTGCATCATGTCAGCGTCTTCACCTAACAGGACTATGTCATCTGCATATTCTAGATCTAAGGAAACGACAAGTGAACCAACACCGCCGGCCCGGCAGACCGTGGGGCGTGGTGGAGTGTGTTATTTTTGGGGCCGACCTTTTCTAACCCCCCCTTCCACTGAGAAGGCAGCATCAGCATGGCACTGCTGGTCAGGTCATCCAAGGGAAACACCTTACTGCTGTCACACCCCATCCAGCTAGCAGCAGTACGACTTCGCCCTCAGACCCCCATCATAGTATAGCAATTTACACTATGACGGTAACTGCTTTTCGTCTAACCACTACCCAACAGACCTTTCTGGTATGGTAGGACCTCGAGGGAACAAGCGTTCCACCAGCATAGCTCGTTGGGTCATTGTGATATGCAAGCCCGACCACCACGTCAAGGTAGCAGCTATCGGTCGGGAAAATTCACCTGTGATTGTGTCAACGTCTTTGTAATTAGGTGACGAGAGGGAAACCTCCATAAGAATATCTATGATAAAATTAAATAAGAATGGGGATAGTGGGCATCCTTGACGGACACCACTTGATGAGTATAGCTCCCTGGACAACTCACCATAGGCTCTAACATGCCCACAAGTGTTCGAGTAGAGAGCTTTCAATAAGGTGATGTACTTACTAGGCACGCCTTTCAGTGACAGACACTGCCATAAGACTTCTCGATCAACGGAGTCAAATGCCGCCTTCAGGTCGAGAAATACAGCTATTGTCGGGCGTCTGTAAGCATGCCTATGTTCCAGGACCTGGCGCAGTGTGAATATTTGGTCGATACATCCACGGCCAGGTCTAAAGCCTGCCTGGTTTTCTCGGGCTTGCTGTTCCCGAGCTCCACTCAGGCGTCGGAGAATTATAGAACTTAGGATCTTAGACACTATGTTTGTCAGGCTGATTCCTCTGTGGTTATCACAAGAGGACTTCTCGCCTTTCTTGAAGACTGGGATGATGAGTGACTTAGACCAGTCGGAGGGGATCGTATTTGATTCCCATATACTGGCTAACACTTCCGTTAGCCTGACTAAGAGAACTCTACCACCATTCTTGTATACCTCAGCAGGTAGTCCGTCTGGTCCTGCTGCCCTTCCCCGTTTCAGGCTACCTACCGCTTTCTCAACTTCTTCTAGTGTTGGGGGACCTGTCTCTATGTCCCATTCAGGGTCCGACTGGATAGCGGGCAGCGCAATGGTGGCTGGAGGCCAGTTAAACTGTTCCTCAAAGTGTTCTGCCCATCGTCCCAGTCGCCTTCCCTGCGAGTGAATCGCCGATCCGTCCTTCTCCGCTATAACCTCACTAACTGTTGTTGACCATTTCCCCCCAGTCTCCTTAATAAGTCTAAATAACTGTCTACTGTTACCGATCGCCGCTGCCTTTTCCATCTCTTTAGCCTTTGCTGCCCACCACTGTTCACGATCGTTGCGCAGACTTTTCGTCAGTTTATTTTTAAGTTGCGCTCGCTCTTCATTGTACTCAGAGCCTGCAGGGATGCATTCACGTGCATCCATTAGTTTGGAAGAAGCTGCTGATATCCACTGGCTCTTTTTAGCCATTATCTTGGAGTCGGCTACAGTCTCCAGTGCTGCTTTTACAGTAGACTGAAGATGGCACCAAGCTTCTTCTGGATGAGTGACAGTCTTTTGTTCCGATAACTGCCTAGCCAACTTCTCACTGAACACGGCTTTGGTGTTTTCGTTGTCCAGCAGAACTCGTAGTGGTTTTGTTGCCAAATTTTTTCTACGTCCATTGAGACGCAGGCATATACGTGCTCGGACCAACGCATGATCGCTGTCCAAACACGTACTCCAGAAGGAGCGGCAGTCTTCCACCGATCCTCTCCAGCGATGACTAATAGCAATGTGGTCTATCTGTGTCCATCGCTGAGTCGAGCTCGGTGGACGCCAGGTCAGACAGTGCCTTTCTTTATGTCTGAAATTTGTGCTGGCTAAAAATAGGCGGTTATCTGAGCATAGTTGTAATAGGCGATCACCGTTATCTGTACGTTCAGCTGGGATTCCGAAAGTGCCACCTAAGTGCCTTTCTGCCTCACTCAGTCTACCCACCTGTGCGTTGAGGTCACCTGCAACAACCACTACGTCCGAACGTTTGGCTTTCGAGAGGAGGTTAGACAGTTTATGGTAGAACTCGTCCTTCACTTCATCCGAACTACAGTCAGTGGGTGCGTAAGCAGAGATTACAAAGAGACAACGGCGAGTCTCACTATTCCTTTTAGTTCTCACTGTGCCGTTCAGCCTCATAGCGCAGAGGCGACTATCAACTGGGATCCAGTCTAGTAGTGAGTTTTCTGCCCTGGTGCTTAATGCTATACCTACACCTGCAAGACCACGAGAGCTAGCTATCGAATCTCCAGAAACTCGAAGGGTGAATTTTGCAGATTCACCAGATTGGTCAGGAGAGGTCAGGTGAATAACCACACTTGGGTCCTGTATGCGTGTCTCACAAACACAGCACACATCCATGCCTCGAGTTGCTAGAGTCTTTGCCAACGAAGCCTGTTGGCCAATTTGACGGAGGGTGCGGACATTGAAGGCTCCAATATGTAATTTGGAGCGTGGTTTAAGGAGACCAGGGACGCTGTTCTGTGGACTCAGATCGTTGTCGAAGGCTGCAGAGGTAGGAGAAATTGAAGATGATGCAGCATCATTAATTAAGAGACGTGAAGGAAGATTAGAAGGTAATGATGGAGGAGGAGGATAGCAGTCAGAAGAAACTTGGGTGCTGACAGAGTTGTGAGGGCGGTTGACACTTCCCGGCTGCCCACACCGTGGAAGGCTATTTCTTCTTAAGGTACCTGAAAGAGATTTGTGTGACCGCAGAGCCCATCGGACATCTGCTTGAGGCCTGTCACACCCAGCCTTTTGAGTATGATTATTTTGAATTTTTGTATTTTTGGGGCCGGATGAGCGAAAGGAAACGACAAGTGAACCAACACCGCCGGCCCGGCAGACCGTGGGGCGTGGTGGAGTGTGTTATTTTTGGGGCCGACCTTTTCTAACCCCCCCTTCCACTGAGAAGGCAGCATCAGCATGGCACTGCTGGTCATCCAAGGGAAACACCTTACTGCTGTCACACCCCATCCAGCTAGCAGCAGTACGACTTCGCCCTCAGACCCCCATCATAGTGTAGCAATTTACACTATAACGGTAACTGCTTTTCGTCTAACCACTACCCAACAGACCTTTCTGGTATGGTAGGACCTCGAGGGAACAAGCGTTCCACCAGCATAGCTCGTTGGGTCATTGTGATATGCAAGCCCGACCACCACGTCAAGGTAGCAGCTATCGGTCAATCAATTGTGAAACTAAGGGCGAAAAAAAAAAAATGATAAGCGTACAAACAGAGATAATATCTACATTTACACTTATCCCGGTGACCGGGAAGGAATTGTATCTGGGTTGAAGCTGAAGGTCATGGGAAGGAAAGGCAGCGAACAAACATCTGAATACATAAATTGGGTTTGAAAATTCTAATCGCTATGGCTTCTGCTAGGTTTAGCAATCGGAGGCGCAAAAACCTGGAGTATTATGATGGGACTTTGTAAATAATAGTAAATGCTGAGGTTTTGTCAATCTTATGCTCAGTGTCTACTAGATAGGCAAGTATTGAGTTATTGATGGATTTCACTGTTCCCTTGCCTAACCACGCTGGACAGTGCTCAATGAAGCGATAATAGGTTTGCCGATTCGTTTTTGCCTATGTAACTATCTCCACAGGAGCAGTTAAATTTATCAAGACGAACGGATGGCAGTGTCAGACGCGGTATTTATCGTAAGAATGATAAACCCCAATAAGATCTGTAATCTAGAAGAAATCTCGACAACTGAACTGCATGCATTAACATACAACCACACAATAGGGTGGGATGAAACCACTGCACTTAAGTCCAATATAATTAGAGGAGTGAGAAGCTGATAACTGAATCTTTGTTCATCGAATCAACACCCAACACATGTAATAAGAATGGTTCAACAAGTATACGAGAGATATGAAGCATCTTACTACCACTGAAAACAAAGAATATCAAGTGACAGGACTACAAAAATCAGATGTCAAAAGTTATGTGATTAAAAATATCATATGACTATGAGCAATAACTTATGCTTTAAGCGTCATCAAGCAAATAATACTGTATCACCGTGTGCAATAGATTAAATCAACAAATCGAATTCCGTTTTAGTTTATTTATTAGATATGTCACACAGTGAAACAGCATTATTTATTGAATAACGTTTCGGATACCATTTATTGTCCATATTCATATCAGGTAACTTCACAACTTTGCGATAGTTTATATTGCCCTGATTTTCTCCCCTTCTTTGTGACAAGGGTAGTAGGATTTTACATATATCTGGGGTAGGTGCAGAATCACTTCGATTACATATATATGGTGTTGATTCGATAAACAAACAGAGCACAAAAACCTAGCTAAATCAAGATTAGTAGGTCCTAATAAGAGAAAAGCTCTACACCTAACCACACACAATCACACAGTAGGATGGGATAGACCGACAGTATTTAAAAAGAACTTAGTTGGGTGGAGGGAGGGATTGATAACCGAATCTTCGTTTATCGAATCAACACCAAATACATGCAATCGAAATGATTCCGCACCTGTCCCAGATATATGGAAAATTCTACTACCCTTGTCATCAAAAAGGAGAGAAAATTAGGACTATATAAACTCTGTCTGAAAGTTGTGGAGTTACGTGACATGAATATGGACAAGAAATAATGTCCAAAACGTTATCCAGTAAATGATACTGTTTCACTCTGTGACACTTTTAATTAACAGACTAGAATGGAATTAAGGTGATTTTCTTCGCTCGCCTTTGGTAAGCCAAACTGGGTAATGTTCAGTAACACATTTTCTCAGGGCCCGCTAACAACGTCCACTACAGTCAGATCCACAGGGGCATGTGAATTTATAGATAGACATAGATGCGGACATAAGTAGTAACCTATCTTTCACGAATTGTCGAATGAGATGACGGCTGATGAAAATCAACCTCAGTCTAGCACCATAAAAGGTATTATTGATACACTGAAGTATGGTCTTTCAGCACTTCGACCGTAGTGTCCCCCTTTGAATTCCAGATTACAGTTTTCTTAGGAACTGTAATAGGATGAGGGATGATTTATTTCTTCAGGTTTTTATCAATAACTCTTTTAAGGCATCCGTTAAAATGGAATTACAGTCTACCAAAGTACCCAAATTTTACTCATATTAAACAAATTCAGTGTGGAAGTATGACCTCATATAAACTGATGTAGACTGAAGTGAGACATCAGCCAAAGGACTAAGATGTATTTTGAAGAAAAAAATTAAAGAGAATTAACTTACCATCAAAAAGATATGGATGGTTAACACACTTTTTTAGTTGTATAATCAAATTACCCAAACGATTATATGTACGTGAATTATTCTGTGAATCAACAGTAAAAGTGAAGAGATCTAGAAAAAAAATATATGGAGAAATGATGAGTTAATTTTGTTAAAATCATAGACGGATATATAACAGTGAATATCCTTAATGATTTGAACGTATTTAAATGTTACCGAGATGTAGTTAACGATCACAATGTACGAAACTAGTGGAATTGTTCCACATAAAGGGCAACTTTAAAACAATAGTAGGTACACGAATTAGTCACTATAGGATAACTCATGTAGCTCAGTCCTTAATATTAACCGCGGTGAATGCAATCCAGTCCTACATCAAGTCGTTTTGTGACCTAGTGGTAAATCTCTGAATTCGGCCCTGAGCGATGCAGGTCTGAACCACCAAAGAAACATCTATTTCTCAATGGTTGCACACAGGCTTTAATGATGAGTACCCACCTAGGTTCACAGTTACCTACCATTTGGCGCTTAACATGATGTTCAGTATCACGATCTTGTATCCGCATAGTGAACAGATTATGTAGCTGGATACTGGATAAGTATGCGTGCTTCTAACTAACGGCTAACTCGTACACCAGATACTACCGACTCTGAAACTTTAAACGGAAAACAGAGAAAGAAGATTGGTCAGGATGGTAGAGTTTATTCTCCACTAAAAGACTGGAAACAACGCGAAACATATGTGCACATATACATAATATGATTCTGTTCAGAATTCGGAATATTAACATATTAAGTGTCAACCAATAAGCGATTTGGATTGGAAAAAGGAGGGAAAACGAACTACTGATCCTGGTGTAAAAAGAGCGCGACAGTGATTTAAAAATGGGTAATAAAATAAATAACGTCTTATGCAAAACCAAGGTTTCATAACACAGGTGATGCAGGTTTTTTATGAACGACAGCCAACAAATTAACAACTAGGAAATAGTAAGTGTACTGGGCTGACGATGACATCCTTCAGCTTGTGAGTTACACATCCGAAACTATATCTGATCAGTACCAACTTTGGGTGAATATGCATCTAGAGAAAAAAAACTTTCGTGATTTTTAATAGACTAATGTCACCGATAATGGCGACTTGATTCCTAACCCAATCATCCACAGTTGAAAATAGATGGCAATAGAACATTAACAAGTTTACAAGATGCTGTACTGAAGTTGATCAGGTATTCAACATATCAGTGTGAGCAGTCCTACTATACACCTGATAAAACTGATATTTTATTTTGAGGATATTTGATGACTGCTTTTTGATCACCGTTGTTGCCATAGGATCATCCACATCTGGTAGGAACACCAAGAGCTCCTGGGGTTTTAGGAGGCATGCGTTTGAGTGCGGTGAAGATGGTCATTCATTGAGTGTGGTTTTCTTGAAATACCAGCTTAAATGACAGGCACCTGTTATGTATGTCATCCCGGCGACTCTCAAACCGCTCACTGTTCGCTTGCCCTGAAACTGGTTAGAAGAAGCGGAGGTGGTCATTGTATGATGTATCGTCGTTGGATGAATGGTATTTGTTCGGTAAGCATCTGCAGGTACTTTACATCTCCGTGGATGAGGTCCGAGAGATCACACAACGCAGTGGCTCCAGACGACACCAGGCATACCTCAGAATCGAAAGCAGTGGTGATCACCTTGCAGCTTTCTTGTTTCTTCAACTACCAAAGCGCGAAACGAAAGTGTTGAACGCCTCTTCGGTTGTATTTCTGAGAATGCTTCTTTAATAATCAATTGCTGCTTTTTTCTATTCTCTCCACCACTTTCTGCGCTTCCAGAATGTTACTTTATTACTTCGTACGGAGCATTCCTTGGTGCTGATTTAATACCAAGTTTGTATGTTAACCAAATAATAATTATAACACGAAAGTCTAAAATGTATAGTATTCAAAGTACTTCGGAAAGCAACCACTAAATAAATTATATATAATCCAATTATGTAGGTTTTTTAACGATTTGGTGTTTTAAACCACTTGTCTAGATTTCAATCACACTCTAATAGGTGCCAGAAGGTTACTTTAGCAGATAAAGTGGTCGATTGGAAGTAGTTAATCTCCACAAACTGCTTGAACCGACAACCACATGTAAAATTAAACTAAACCAGTCATTAATTCATCGAAAAGTGTCCATGAGCAATCGATACAGTACTTTTGATTATTATAAATACTTTTCGTTAAACACTGATATATTTCCAAGTTTTATATAACTTTATGGGAAAATATTGGTCTACTGCTGGAAATGCAAAGCTCAGTAATATCCGCAACTTATAAACTATAGAATAACATAGAAAGTAGCGTTAATGCTGTGGGAAATTTTGGAATTTTCGAATTATAGATATTCAACTATCCAGAACATCCGATCACACTGTAAGTAATTCTAACTCATGATGGAGTTGAGTGTGATATCTTCTGCATACACACACACATACACAGTGATTAGGGTCTTTTAGGAACTCAGCTTAGTAGACATTAACAAATCTGTGCATTTCATTGCTTTGTAAGCCATACCAATTAAGTGAGAGAAACAAGTGGAGAGGTGAACGAACTGAATACCGTGGGACTATGATTAATTGGATTACAGATTCGACCTCCTAGGTTATACTTTTGGTTCTTGCCTCCCGAACATACTAATTTTGGCTGACAGCTTATGACATGAATCTGTATACGACTGTACATTTACAGGAAATATATCGACACAAAAAATACCTTACCTGCATTACGAGTTAGCAGTGCTCTATAGATGTGTGTTTGTAAACGAGTCAATGAGTGATAAATCATCACATCTATACGTGGTGGTAAATCTGTCAAAACGTTCTGTTTAATACGTCTTAGAAGAAATGGGCGTAGAATTTTCGCCATATCCTTTTCTGTTTCATGCTTTTTAGAGGCTATAAATGAATACACAGATAAAAATATCAAGTCAATATATAAATCATCTTTAACTATTCTGTCGTAAAATATGTATGGCAACCTAGATAGATGAAATGCTGCTATCGGTTTCACATCTACTCAGTGAAGAAATAACTGCCAACTAAACATAGGTCAGATAAAAATACATTCGCATACACAAGGACACACAATATGTGTGCAATTTAGTAACTAGTAGCAAGTTGATGCAATAAGCCACACCTATTACGTGAAGGCTCCCTTAGCATTGATAGAAAAGTTTGAAATGGAACCTAGAATTATTTGGTTGAAATCTGGTTGCATGAACCAAACGTTTTCAGGCACACACACTATCCTTCAGCTATTGCGATAAATTCCATTTCAGTTTGTTTACTAGGAATACCACACAGTGAAAGTGTTATTTACAAAATAATTATTGAGACGTAAAGTATTCTTGATGTGTCTAGTTTCTTGTCACCGATCTTCCGATCTACTTGTAACGTTTTTTGCCCTATTACGCTTCAGCATTTAACCAAACCTACTTTAGCTGAGATGGGATGAGATGATTTGAAATTTAAGTGGCGATTCGAATGGGAAGGTTTCCTATAGACACTAGTCTCTAAACTTTCATCTTGTCTTCGTTTTGTCTTGCAGTTCAACATTGCTAACTCACCTTTACTTTTTAAGTTATCAGTAAACTGGATTGCATTCACTAGTGAATTCACATATGTCAAGAAACTATTTATGTGTTCTGATTTCAGTGCTGTAACTGTGTCATCTATATATCAGAACCATATCTTTGGAGTAGGACTAAATGTTTGAAGTGCCATCCGTTACCAACTATCCACTGATATGTCTGTGACAATAGGGGATATTGATGATACCATGGCAAATCTTTCAGTTTGCTTACATATATTTTATTTTGAAACTTAAAAACTGTAGATGTCAAGCACAATAGTACCTCTAGCATGATTTTTCCAACCGACACCTTAGTTCGATGCGTCATACTTAAGCATCAAAGGATGATAGCATGTCTTGCTCTCACTTGGTTATAAATTAGAGATTGTCGACACAAGTAAGGTAGTTAAACAACTCGAGGAGACTTTCCACGCCAAAGCTTCTATTATTATTGTAATTAGTTTGTGTTAAAATGAATCTATAAGACAACTAAACTATACAGTTTACAGTAGTAGAGTACTAAGAATGTATCAAGAGGGAATAAGTTGGGGGATACAAGACAGTAAAGAATAAGCGGTAAACAAGACTAAATTTATAGAGATGAAAAGCAGATGTAGTTATAGAGTGAAGTAAACCCCACCCCACCTCAAACCTTCAGTTATTGATTTCTGTGAACAAATAATAAATTATTCAACTCACACTGCAACACATGAGAAAGAATGCCTACTTTATTAAAACAACTTCATACAGATTGTTTTTATAACATATTATCCAAAGAGACTAAACATCTTGACAGAATACCAAATTATAACTATATGTTCAAAAGTGGATGAAGAAAACCATTAATTTACCCGCCCTCTGAATCACTTACATTCATCTGAGTTGGCAAAATAATTTACAAATGTGGGACGTAGCTGTTGACAGAAATAGTTGGGTGCAACAAAATGCAACAAGTTAAACAGCTCCTCAAGATTATTTTGAACAGGTGTACCCGTGAGTATGAAACGAATCCCAAGACATGTCTACAGTAACAACAAAAAGTGAGTTTCATTTCATCAAATATATTACAATGTAATTCTATGTACAATTTATCCCATTGATATCGTGCACAGTAATACAGTAGTTATTTACCGATTGCCGTTTCGAAAGAAAACTAATGCTTATAATAAAATCAAAGTGGCCGCACAACTTTATACACTCGCTCTCATAGTTTTTCAACACTCGTTGCTACCAAGTTTGGACATTTCTCAGTGCGTCGACTAGGGGTTGTTTCGATGAACACATATTCGCCAACTAACCATATTTGGTTTTAGTACCACAGTGCGAAATCAACCAGCTATGAAAAACATACATGGTTTGGTGAGAAAACAACTACTAGATGCGATAGGAATTATACAATGTTCAACTGGGAAATCTGAAAAGCTTTACTGTAACTGGAAACCCAGAAGCAAAGTTATAAAATATTGGTTAACACTTGATTGAGTAAAACTTTTTACTTGTAAAAAATATTTTTGGAAGAATCTACTGCAGAGAGCTGTTAAATATGGTTGAACAACACTTTTTAGCAAATACATAAGTTTTGAATAGAAGAGCCCAAGCTAGCCGAGTAATTCATATCCTAGTACACAGATATCTACCGAGTAGTTTGGTTTTATCGAATCTTCAGGTGTAAAAAATATCCAAATAAGTTACAGCTGGGAAATTTGTTTTTTGATATCCTACCATACCCGGGATGTCGCTTTGACAAGGACACTGAAATCAGACAATCAGACAATTTCAAAACCAAAATACTACAGAATAACTGTACGTTTAAGCGTGAAAACATACCGCCAAGTAACGGATTAGGATGCATGTAAAGCTTAATTAGAATCACCAAATGAGTGTTTTCTTTTCGTTATGAAGCAATAGAGAAGGTTGTCCATAAATATGTCACTCTTCCTTTACCAGAAGTTTCCATAACCAGTGGTAAAGCAGTTTTAAAGTATGTAGGCAACATAACTAAATCTAAACAAAAAAGCTTGAAAAGGCGGTGTGACCAGACCTAAGTAGATGTTCCTTGGGCTTTTCACTGACGCTCTCAGGCTTCAAAACCATGCAGAATAGCTTAACTTCGTTCTCAAGTACCTTAATAAATAACTCCCTACGATATCACTACAAATCATTATGCACTGGTACGGGTAACTTCTCTGTAATAAGGTGAAACAGGTGTAAATAGCCAAATAAAACTTACAGCATAAACCACATTAATTAGCATTCAGAAACATTTGGCACACTGACTCACCTCAGTTAACACTGAATACAATTGAGTGCTTGAATTTTTAAGACGATGTCCTTCATCAACGATTACATAGTTCCAATCTATTTGCCTAAAAAATGCTTCATCAATAACACAAAGCTGTTCGCTTTGATAAGTAAGATGGGAGATACTACCTCATAAGTGGTTAAAATCACTTTTGTGGACCTGTTGTAGTTAGATCGTAGATCATTACGCGTCGCTTTATCACCAACGTAAGTCATGAACACAACATTCGGGGCAATACTGAAAATTGGGATACAGTTGAAATTCCACACAAACTTTGAAGTTCACATCTCCAATTTTCTATCACAGAAAGTGGAGAAACAATCAAAAATGTCGCATCTGGTTTCCGACTTCTCGTAGCTAAAACAAAGCAAACAACCTACACAATTTATCAAACAGCTACAGTACAAACCTGACAAGTTTTACCTAAACCCATTTCGTCACATAAAAGTCCACCGTGATTTTGTGAATCACAATTTCCCAGCCAATTTATTCCCAGCAATTGATATTCATGAGGCACAATTCCCACCAGACCACATTTATTTAGTTCATGGATATCAATAGAACAAGTAGAGTTGGTTAATTGTTCGATAGATTTCATTAAATGGTTCATTTGAAAAAAGTAACCTGGAAATTCAAGCGGTAAATACTATGAAGTAGTTGCAATCTAGACAGAATACAACATAACAAGCAAATGGAAGCCAACCTCTTCAATTAGCAACTATGCATATAACTCAGTTAACATCTTCACCAGGTCAAATGGGGAAATGTTGAACTACTCACTATGGGAAACGTCACACCAAATGTAGGGTTTTACAACATTTTTCTTATGTCCAGCTCGATGTATTTTGGTTCCGTGTTTGTCAGATTTGGCCGTATGTCTGACTGTAAGTTCTTGCAAATGGCCCGACGATAAGCCCAAAGTTTCCAAAAACGGTCCCACATTTTCTATCGGAAGCTTGGTTTCAGTGAATATCTCATACGATATATTCATTGAAAAATATCTGATTAGTTGTAATCACAGGGATAGTATCTTAGGATCCAATACTAACTGTATCACTGAGATGGTTGTATAAACTGCAATGCTATTCTGAGGTTAACCTCAGTTGTAGACATGCAGTCCTAGTTAGAAATTTCGTCGAGCCAAATAGGTCAACTTTGGGCCATGAACCCGATGTGGGTTCAGATGTAGTGCAAATAAGACTAAACGTTAGGCCACTGTTTTGGCCAGGCCGAACGTAGGGTCAGTGGTGCTGACCGGAAGGCCAACAGTCAGTATATGGGGCTGGCCGTCAGGCCATTTGTAAAATCCCAGGGGCACATAGGGCTAAATATCCCAAATATGGGGCTAAATGCAGAGCCAAAAACAGGGCCAGACGTGTCAAAATTGTTGTAAAACTTCATGCCTGGCTCTACATTTGGCCCGAAGAAAGTGTTGATTCTAATCAACTTCGCGAGGGAATGAGGAGAGGGAATACAATCGAGGGAACGTTAAGTTGCACGTTTTGTCCCGAGTTTTTTTTTTTTGCGGTTTGCTTCATGCCCTTTTGCTTTGCCACTCCTTAATTTTAACTGGAACCAGAATAATACATCCTGAACCAGTGTAATGACTAGTTGTTGATGCGTTTTTGCCTAGCCTGTAAGCATGTAGCTGCAGGAGGGGGAGGAGTAGAGCAGTGTGTTTGGCGGTGGCTACGAGAATCTAGAAGGGAAAAGAGTAGGGGAAAACGATAAGCCAACGACTTAGCAAGTACAGTGGATGTACTCCTATCTATCAGTCAAAGATAACCGATGAATGGTGGACCTTGACAACGAAGAGGTGAGGGAGTCTAGAAATCGAAACTGGAAAGTGAATGAGTATGATTCTGAATGCGTCACGCCAATCTAAATCTCAGCCGTTATCAATCAAACAGTTGGAGTGGATTCGTCAGTATCTGAACTGTACGGTCGGCGTTTGAAGTAATAATCAATTAAAACTAGTCAGTTTCCGAAGATAGAATACTATTGTATATATATACTCGATAGTTTGCGATTCACAGTAAGCTGACGAAGTTAAAATTCTTCCCTCAGTTCATAACTATAGAACCTGGTGTTTTACGGAAAATAATATTGAGCTAGATCGACAAAAAACTTATTATAAACTGACCCCACCTATCCGATAGTTTTATTTCTCCCGCATTACCTTCCAATGTCCAATATCCAATATTGATAGTGCAAGCGTGGAAAACTGGTAGTTTTTGATCTCTAGAGTCTAGTTCTTAGGGCTTGGTTCGAGTTGTTCAGTTCACTCCTGCAGTGGACGAAAAAATACCCTCTGCTTTCTCGCCTTTAGTTTCGGTGAGGTGGATGTTTTGTGGGTTAGTAAGTTGTAATTTGTAGAGTGATTAGAGAGCTACGGGTTGCTGGGAAGTTTAGAGAACAACCGTGACTCCTGTCTGTGTAGGTACCTGAAAGAGAACAGTAAGGTGGTGGTAAAAGAATGAAGAGAGAACAAAGAAGAAAAATAATGATAAGGGAAGAGAAAAGGGAAGGAGAAGAAAAGAAGGGGTGAAGAGAGAAATGAGAACGAAAGAAAAGTATTCGGGAGTTGCCCGAATGGTCGCGTGGGTTTGGTTCCTATAGAAGAATTAGTAGGTAATGTGGGTGTACTAAGGAGGGAGATGGTGAGTGGTAGTTAGGAGGGAGTTGGGGGCCAGTGAGGTTGGTGACTACCTGAGTACGTCCGTAGTAGTCCATGCGAGGTGACATAACTGTCTAATCGTCTCTTGAATGAGTCGACTGAGGGAGCTATAACGATGTGTCGCGGTAAGGCATTCCACAAAGCACATACTCTCAGGGAGAAAAATTTGGACCTGAGTATGGTGTTGGCTCTCTGGTGTGCTATCTTAATGGCGTTTCCTCGTGAAGATCGTTCAGTTGCAGGCAAAATTGATTTGTTTGCATGGTCTGCCTGATGGGCGATCTTGTATGCCATAATGAGGTCACCCCTTTTCCTGCGACAACCCAAGGTAAATAGGTATAGGTGTCTAAGTCTTTCAGGATACGTCTTTCCCCTTAGCCCCACAACACATTTTGTTGCAGTTCTTTGTATTCTTTCAAGGAGATTAGAGTCTCTCTTGAGTGTTGGAAGGGCCACTGTATTGAAGACCTCTAGGTGCGGCCGCACGTAGGATTTGAAAATGGTGAGGAAGAGTTCGGGAGTGAGGGCGCCAAGCTGTCTACGCAGAAAGTGTAGAATGGCGTTCGTTCTGGTTGTCATACCTTTGTAGTTGGAGCTGGTGTCCAAGGTGTCGGAGAAGTTGAGCCCCAAATCTTTCTCCATGGACACTCTGGTGATAGCACGGTTGCTCAACATATACTGGAAGTCAGTCGAACGTGTTTCATTTTTACTGGTGTACATAACTCTGCACTTTTCCAGGTTGAAGCTCAGACCATTTTCCGACGACCAGAGCTCGAGTTGCTGCAAGTCCTTTTGTAGTGCTGTACAATCAGCTTCTTCGTTTACCACCCTCCAAATTTTTATGTCGTCAGCAAAGAGGAGGATGGGTGAGGATATTTTGTCTGGCAGATCGTTGACAAGCAGAAGGAACAGAAGCGGTCGTGATATTGCTCCTTGGGATACTCCTGACGTCGACGGTCTCCACTCCGACCTTATTCTGTTCACTTTAGTGCAGAACTGCCTCCCTTCCAGGTACTCCTTGAACCAAGAGAGTAGGGGTTCACTTATACTGGCTGGCATGATCTTGTGAAGCAGTACTGTGGGTGGGACACTGTCAAATGCTTTGGCTAGGTCGAGAAATACAACATGTACAGGTTTTCTATTATCCCAGCTTTGTGTCCAGTCGTCCCGGGCGGTTAGTAAGTTGGTGGCACATGAGCGACCACTACGAAAGCCGTGCTGAGCAGCGTGGACAGTGTTTTCTCTTTTGAGGAATTCCCAGATGGTGTCAGCTACCAGGCTTTCCAACACTTTCGACACAATAGGGAGAAGGGCAATTGGCCAGTAGCTGCCAGGGCTTTTTCTGTCTCCTCCCTTGAAGATGGGTGACAAGATGGCGCTCTTCCTTTCTTTAGGGAGTTTGCACGAGTCTATAGAGTGCTCAAAGAGGTTGCGAAGTGGTTTAGTAAGCACCTCGGCGCAGTTTTTCAGTGCCACTGGTTTCAGGTTATCGCAGCCAGGGGACTTGCCCGGAAGTAGCCTAGATAGTTTCTCGAACACCTTTTTCTCTGTGATGAGATAATAATAATATAATAATAATAATAATATATTTCATGCAACAAAGGTTACATGAATACAAACCAGTTTACAGGTTTGATCACTTTGGTAATGAGAGATGACTATTATGTACAATGTTATGCTATACATTAGATGCTGTGATTTATGGCATATAGGAGGCATGTTGAAGCAGGCTCAGTTCGAATTTGAAGATTATCCGGTCATCGTTTGAATCATCCAATATTCTTGAAGGTGAGGCCGCATCACAGTCATGACCTTGGGGTGTGCGCGTTCGTCATCAGGTTTCGGTGCCAATATTTCCCGCTGACGAATGCGATTTGTAGGATTCCATTTGAATGCAGGACTGGTTAAGTAAATCTGAAAAGTGAATAACAAAAGCGAGCAGCAGGCGAAATTTGTAACAGGAGCACAAAAATACGCAGGAGTAGATCGACCATGATACATCTGGGTGAGTTTGTACTGACTATTAAACTTACTTGAGGAAGTGTCCAGAACCAACTGTTTAGAGGTAAGCTTAGGTGGAAGAAGATGAAGGTGCGCACGACAGTAATGAAAGTCAGTCTGAAGCTGAAGATATCACTACGAAATAGAAAGATTAGAGGATATTTGACCAGGTATTAACTTGTTATATACCTATGTACAAGCGTATGATGAAGTTATAAACATTTAGGTGAAATTCGTGGTTTTTTTTTGTTCTTAGGACCACCACCCTTTATCTGGTCACGAGGGGATGATCATGGTGTTGCCTGTTGAGCATTACCATATCGGGTCTACCGAAACTATGTTGGTGCAGAGTACTTAGATGTAAGTACTGATGACAAAGGGCAAATAATAAAGAGTTGCATGCTATGAAAATGCACCGACAGACAGTTCTTTTATCTTTTCGGAGTAGAGAGATTACTTTAAGGGGCGATTTTTAGGAAATAGGTGTTAAGTCGTGAGATCGGTTAGGTTGTGAAGAAAAGTAGGTTACATTTGAGTATCTAATAAGTTCACTGTAGCATATCGTGTCGCACTCCGCTTCCTGTTCACTCTTGGTCATTTTTTTTCTAAGAAATTAGATTTTAACTTAACTATTGCGTTTAGTTTTCGGCATTGTATACTTATGTCATTGCTGTTAGTCTCCCTTGAGTCTAGGTACCAGTAGTACCTTAGTGCATGGCATTACCGTTTGTGGTTTGGCCGTCAACGAATTGATGAGATTCGTTAGATAGGAGGAATTTACTAAGTAGTCGTTGAAACTGGCCGAGCGAACGGCATGCTCGTATAGGAGCGGGAAGTTTGTTCCACAGCATACTGTATTGCGTTATGAAAAACCTACATCGAAGTTTTGAGCGATACTTATTTATTGGGATGATGTTCTCGCTATTACGCAG